TGTCTTTGTACGTGTGTAACCTCTCTGTCGTCTTTTGACGTCATAGAGGAAAATCAGTTTTCGTCATTTACGGCAGGCTATTTTTTGTATTGAATGTATTACTTTATACATAAGCATATAAATCCATTGGATATATATTTATGGCGTTCAGATATAAGGCAGTATTTTGTGTGTTCGCACACATTTTCTGTAAAACAGCTAAATTAAAAAATCGTCGCTCAGTACTTTTATCGGTGTACGATAGAAAGCGTGGAAATTTGCTGTTTTTCAACGCAGAATAAATTCTCGGACAACACTTAGCAGTGTCTTTTTTCCAAACTGATTTAATATTTGCAGTTAAATTTACACCATCAGATAGGAAATATAATAGACTAGATCCCTGTGTAATTTTATAGCCGGAGATAGATCAAGTGCCGTGTGAGTGCACTTCTCGGACAACTTTTCAGATCATAGGAAAATGTTCGTCAGAAACATGGCATCAAGAGGGTTAAGAATTGGACGCTACTCTATAATTACTCTCTCTTTAAGGTTAGAATAAACGAATCAGGAACATTGATATATTATTAGTAAGAATAGACTTGCTACAATGACAACGTACTGCATTCGAGCACTTTATCGACATATATCCATGAATAACGAGCGAATTCCTAAGTGGCTGCTGCTGTTTGAGAATCGCATCCTATTTAAGATGAGCTTGTCTGTATGATGGATTGAGTTGAAAACGATAAGTGTTATCAGCTTTGGCAGATCCGATCGCCGGAGTGATCAGGTTACCACAGAAATATAAGGCCCCATAAGTCATTGAAAACATTTACCATTGAGCATAATAGGCTCCAGATGAATTATAATAGAACAACAGTCTCCTGGCATTTATATATTATTAAATAGAAAGTCAGAGGCAAAAGAATGCATAGGTCGGATTTTAACGAATATGTGAAAGGAAATCAATGTCTTTAAGCATTTATTCTGTATGTTATGAATCAATCTTACAACTAGTAACGTGTGAGAGCTCCCGCTGCGTTAATACATGCAATCACACGTCTTCTCATGGATGGCGTCAAACGTGTGATGACGTGATTTGGTATTCACTGCCAGTCTTCCCTGAGTGGTTGTTCCAGCTCTGGTGGGGGGCACGGGTGGCCCAGTCGTCTAAAGCGCCACGAATTGCCGTGCAGAGTTGCGTCCCTTGGGCACGCCAGAAACCTAGGATTGTGGGTTCGAATCCCGGTTCGCCCCGATTATGTTTCTAGGTTTGTCAGCACCATACCCGTGCTCGTGGGTTTCACCGAAGTGGTAAACGTCTGAGACCTGCATCACTTCGGGCTTTCCTCCCACATAAAGCTGACACGTCGTGATATAACTCGAAAACTGTTTAAAGCGGCGTTAAACCCAACTCACTCACTCACTCAAACTCTTGTGGGTTCTGTGAAACGTGAGGACGATAACATATTCGTGTGCCAAGCTGATCCCACACATGTTCTTTCGGATGCATATCCATATAACATGCTTGCAAGGGAAGAATATTGACGTTCTGATTAACAAAGTCTTGCGTCGCTCTGGCAGTATGGCTTTTTGGCGTTATCGTGCCAAAGAATTATCCCCTGTGATTAGTTCTGTAAGAAAGGATGTACGACTGGTTGCAAAACTTGATGCCTGTACTCAATGGCATTCATATTGCCCTGAATTATCACAAAGTTCGTCTTCTTGTTGATACAAATGTCACCTCATACCACATCGCTTCCCTCTCCGTATGGAAGCACTTCTCGAACGCATGCTGGTGCCAAACGTTCTCCCCGACGTCTGTAAAGTCTCTGTCTACGGTCATTACGAAATAAACAAATCCGACTTTTATTGGTTTTAACTTGCCATCTACGGACCTGTCTTGTCCAACGTAGGCTGGCAGTCGATGCTGTTGAGTTAAAGCCATGCCTCGTAAGGGACCATATACTCGGATTCCTGCAGACCTTGGTCTTCGCAACACTTTGCGCGGACTGATGCGACGGCGTAACGCCGTTGATGTTGACGTCACGCATCTGCATCTGCGGAGATGTATCGTGCGACTATAGCGGTCTTCTGAAGCTGGTGTGACACGTGGTCTACCAATTTGCGGCCTGCCTTGGGTCCCTACTGTCTGCCTTTGTCGTTGTAACAATTCCGCTACCGTCAGTGGGGTTCATCCAAACGTTTGGGAAATATGGGCTTGCATAGCATCCATTTGTGCCATACCAATAGCCCTCTCTCGGCACCAATCAATCTGGCCATCATTTGTGTGCTTTCCTTGACTGTAATACTAAAGCTTAAGATAAGCCAATTTACACCCGATATCACGTGTATTTCATGCTACGACCGGAAGACATGGTTTACACATTTTTCATGACGTCAGCTGTACGGTAACGCGTTGTGTGTTTAAATGATGTGTTTTTATTATCTTTGTTTGGACGATTCTAGTGAACCAATTTACTCTACATTGACTATTTAATAATTACTGTTTTTAAGAATTGAAAAAGAAAAACCAGTATTTTCCTTTGCCTTTTAGTTCAGATAGCTGTACGGATATACAATACTGATGAGGTAACGGGTAGCCCCGTCGTCTAGGTCGCCTTATTACGATGTGGTGAATTGTGTCCCTTTAGCCTATAATAGTTGGTTCGAATCCTAGATTCGACATGATTATGGTTTTTTTATTTGTCACCACATCACCAATGCTCGATGGTTTCACCAAAGTGATAAACGTCTAAGACCTGCATCACTTTCGGGGTTAACTCCCACGTTGAGCTGACAGGCCATGATATAACTGAAAAACTGTTAAATACATAGTGTTAAATACATAGTGTCAAATATAACGGACCCAATCTCAATCTCCCAAATACAGTTCAGTTTACAGGAGTCGTGCCCTGTTTGTGTATGTAAATTGCAAATTATGAATATTGTTTTCATTCCCGTGTCCGTCGTAAAGAAGGAACTGCACCAAATGGGACACGCCATGCAAAACCTATTCATGCTATGAAATAAAAAAAGCGACAAAACCCTTTCAATATCCAAAATAAATCTCTGAATAAAGCAGAGTCGATTGTACAATTCCGACTTTATCATGAACATATCGAATAGTAATGATACCAGGTGTTCGCGAAAAGGTGAACGTATCCTGCCTCTCCGGTGACACCTGTCACAAACACATGCAAAGGCAAATCAATTGTTCACCTAAAACAACATGGGTACATTTAGTATAAGTCAAAATAGGGAATTGCATCGGACATCATTTTTTACTGATGCGTCAAACTTGGAAATGTCCTCCAGGAAGCAATTAAGCCACGCTCCCCCCTACTATACATTCTTCGCAATGTTCTCACAAACGGCAGTAGCTAGCTGACTCTCAAGTGTCATAACCCCGATCATAACTTACACTGAGGCCCAACACATACAGCTGTGTAATCAACTTCTTTGACCTGGTCTGCTTGTGGATACTTAGTCCTATGAATTGGTTGGTTGGTTGGTTTGTTGTTTAACGCCGCACTCAGCAATATTCCAGCTATATGACGGCGGTCTGTAAATAATCGAGTCTGGACCAGACAATCCAGTGATTGATATCATGAGCATCCATCCACGCAATTGGGATCGATGACATGCATCAACCAGCCTGACCACCCGATCCCGTTAGTCGCCTTTTACGACAAGCATAGTCACCTTTTACGGCAAGCAAGGGTTGCTGAAGACCTATTCTACTCCGGATCTTCACGGGTCTAGTCCTGTGAATAGTGGCAAGGCTGGTTCGTAATCCAATGAATGCCGAGAGTTGCCAGTTGGTGCCCTCTTAAACAGGATGGTATGCGAGACAGTGAGGCAGGCCAGGGAGTCAGCAGAGCTCTGATCATTTAGATTGGCTCCGACCAGCATCATGGCCACCCGGGACTTGGGATTGGAGGGAACGGAGTCCTACTGGCATTTAGATAAGAATGGGGCATTAAAGTTGAACCCATTGGACTGGAATATATCATCCCGAACAATTTTGGCAGCCTTGGCCAGAATCAGTGCATCTTCTTCATAGTCACACTTCAAAGCCTGCTTCAGCCCTTCCTGCATTCCCTGTTCGAAAACAAGTATCACATTCTTTCCATCAATCTGCGCCTGGACATTGGGAAGTTACTTTAGGACTTGTTCCTTGAAGCGAACTTTGTTGATTTCCTTGCGGATACCAAGATCGAGCAGGCGGTTTTCATTCAGTTCGCGCAGGGATGAAAACCTGTAGAGAATTGACCACCTTCCACAAAATCTTCCACAGGCTTGACAAGCTCAGCAAAGGATCTGGATTGGATTATGTTCTCTTGCTTCTGACTGTCAGAGGAGTCTTGACGTTGCCTCATTAGCGAACTATGTCGATTTCGGAGGCCAGACAAGCAAGCCAGGTGATATTTTGCATCTATTGTAATGAGGTCAGCATCCTCATCTGGACAATAACCTGGACAATAACCTGCAAGAAATTGAACTTACGCTTCAGGCATATCGATAATCTGATATGGTTGAAGAAAATGGTCTACTAGCCAACTCCCTTCTACGGATTCCCCCACCTAAACTAGAAATAAAAGAAACCAGTGAACCCGCCTCATCCGTGTCATATTTCGATTTATCCCTAAGGATTCAAAGTGATAATAAAGTATACATGATCAGGATGACTAAATAGTCAACTTTCCCTTTGTCGAGTAAGATTCCAGCAGTTAAAGCCTTTGGTGACCACGTAGATACCTGGCTTCATGCCTCAGTGATCGTGATATCGTCGAAAGGGTACAGCGGATTTCTTATGATTATGGAAATGGCTTTGTTGCTTATAGGCGGATAGGTTTGATATTCAACAGCGTGTGTGCATTCCTGTGTGTATCTGTGTGTGTGTGTGTGTGCGTGCGCGTGTGTGTGTGCGCGTAACCATACAAACCGTGATTTGACTAGAAATATTGTGCAAAACGGCGTTAATCCCAGCTCCATCACGTTTCGATTCATCTTTTCAGATTTCAAAACTTTCTGACGATAAGCCCGGATGTGAACTACCGGAAACTGTAGATGAACCCGAGTGTAGTACCGGCATGCAACAAGAAGCCAGTCAACTTCCGTTTCGAACTGTGCCACATGGCGTAGTGTGTAGTTTCAACAGCAACGATGAATTCACATACACATGTACAGAGAAAGGTATCTGGGTTCAAGGTGAGATCATTACACAGCAGAAACAAGGGCGTTTTGCGATGCATTAAAAGTAAGAGACAAGAATATATACATACTGAGACACCTTGAAAACGCATATTGTAATATTTGGCAAAATGACCTTAACAATCATATTAAGTTATTATGGGTATTAAGGTATAACGTACTCAAACACAACATTAGCGTCGTACGGGTTCGAATCTAATCCGATGTGTTTGGAGATGAACAGATTTTTTCTGATTTTGAGTTATGAGTATGCGTTTCTGTTTCAACGTTTAAGCACATTTCGTGACATCTCACACATTTATCCACATGTTCAAAGGATACATGGTAGTTCGGTTATGTTAAAGCTTGGGGTGGATAAAAGTAACATAACATATTTGAGAATATTTGATAATAGATATGATAATATACAAAAGCAATGTCAACATTAAATATTCTTGATATCTTCGAGATTGCTGTCTGAAGCGAAAGAATACCTGCTGATCAAGTAAAAAAAAATGGCGCTTTGCGAAACGAACAGTCTCGATTAACGAGTTAAATGAGAAATTTACAGTTTATACCGAATCGTTTTCAAATGAATAACATACGTCAAGTGGCCATTATTTTGCCTTGTCAATGTAGAGCGAGCTTAAAAAAGAAAAACAGTTTGTGTAAGGTCCAGACACTTACCATAAAAAGGGGAGACAATTTGCAGGGAGGTAACTCTTGTAAGACAATAGTTCCGTCAAAGTGTTATGCTCGCTGCAGTGAAATATAAAGTGATATGTTCACTGCAATGAAAATAAAACTTTTCTCAACTTAAGAAAGCTTTCACACTGAAGTATTTAATATTTATGTGCGTGTGTCGAGGGCTTTCAGCTCCAACAAGCCTATGAAAGATTAATTCACACCAATTCAAGTGTTTATTTTAATTTTAATTTTATAACCTTTGTATATATCACTAAAAGAAGTGAATGAAGGTATATGTCGAATGCTATGATTCCGGCTGGTCGTCCTTAGTGCTGACCAGTCTTAATACTCAGCAGTGATTGTGGCCAACACATGATTATTCTAGTCTCACGACAGGCACGTGTCATATACAGTGCACGGATATATTTTGTTTCAGATATATACATAAGAGTTGGGATATGTGCATATTAAAAATAAGATTGTAATCTATAAAGTTATTTATAATGCGCCAATCCACACTCCACATCGTGATCAAAGCGCTACACTATAACCCAGGTCATGGATCAGTGTGCACTCGAATTGCATTCACAGCTCCCTGGGAAGTATACAACCCATTTATACAACTCATGAGGCGCTAGAAAGGTAACATTCACGTTACCACCTCACCCTACTTGGTACCCATTCACTGATGGCTTTACAGAGGCACTAAATCATTTGCCTTGGGGGACACCACATGTGCTACATGTGCTTCAACAGGTCAGGTGCCCCAGAAACTCCCAGGAGCTAAATTGCCTCAAGGTCACATTCCCCCTTCATTTCAACAGAAACACGTCACTGCTCTAAAACAATTAATACAAATTTAAAGAATAATGTTTATCTATGAAACTGACCCATTCTATTATTCTCGGATAATAATGGAAAAAATCATATTGCCTCAGATTTAACCCCGATCACAACCATTCACGTACACGTGGGTTTGACAAGGTCAGCGTTATCTCACTTACTCTTGTTCCAGATCACCGTCCTGCGACACTTCGGCGTCCATCTCACATCAAGCTGCCACGTTGTCATATTACACAAACACTCTTCACAACCAGCGTTATCTCACTTACTCTTGTTCCAGATCACCGTCCTGCGACACCTCGGCGTCCATCTCACCTCAAGCTGCCACGTTGTCATATTACACAAACACTCTTCACAACCAGCGTTATCTCACTTACTCTTGTTCCAGATCACCGTCCTGCGACACTTCGGCGTCCATCTCACATCAAGCTGCCACGTTGTCATATAACACAAACACTCTTCACAACCAGCGTTATCTCACTTACTCTTGTTCCAGATCACCGTCCTGCGACACTTCGGCGTCCATCTCACATCAAGCTGCCACGTTGATAACACAAACACTCTTCACAACCAGTGTTATCTCACTTACTCTTGTTCCAGATCACAGTCCTGCGACACTTCGGTGTCCATCTCACATCAAGCTGCCACGTTGTCATATTACACAAACACTCTTCACAACCAGTGTTATCGCACTTACTCTTGTTCCAGATCACCGTCCTGCGACACTTCGGCGTCCATCTCACATCAAGCTGCCACGTTGTCATATTACACAAACACTCTTCACAACCAGCGTTATCTCACTTACTCTTGTTCCGGATCACCGTCCTGCGACACTTCGGCGTCCATCTCACATCAAGCTGCCACGTTGTCATATTACACAAACACTCTTCACAACCAGTGTTATCTCACTTACTCTTGTTCCAGATCACAGTCCTGCGACACTTCGGCGTCCATCTCACATCCCCACGTTGTCATATAACACAAACACTCTTCACAACCAGTGTTATCGCACTTACTCTTGTTCCAGATCACAGTCCTGCGACAATTCGGCGTCCATCTCACACCAAGCTGCCACGTTGTCATATTACACAAACACTCTTCACAACCAGTGTTATCTCACTCACTCTTGTTCCAGATCACCGTCCTTCTCCGGGTACATCTGTCGGGCATCACCGAGAAAAGCGCTGGATATTGCTGCTTCTTGCTAGAGGGGGGAAGAGTTTACTGAAAGATCTTGGACTCCTTAAGAAGCTCCTGTGTCTTATCCTGTGTAAAAAACGTCGTGAGTACAGATTTATATCGATATCTCAAACCTTAGTGTTGCAACGTTGATGATGCTATATTTGAATAAGCCTCCCCTTTAATAGGCTCAAGGGTCAACGTACCCGTGCTCAGTGATAAGTGAAAAGCAATAATAAGTATAAAGTTTCGGATTTGTTCTTCTGGGCTTGGGGGCCCAGTCGTCTGAGAGGCCGCAACTCGCTCTGCAGAGTTGCGTCCCTTAGGCACACCAGGAACCTATGATCCTAGATTCGCCCTGATTATGCTACTATGTGTGTCAGCACGGTACCTGTGCCCGTAGATTTCACTCAAGGGGTAAACGTCTGAAACCTGCATCATTTGCGACCCCCCCCCCATTAAGCTGATACGCCCTGATATAACGTGGATATTGTTTAAGGCGGCGTTAAACCTAACTGAGTCGCTCAGTCATATTTCTTACTTTAATTGAGAATACAATTAGTCAGACATGCCATCTTGATATGTGAATTGATCACAAGAAAATAGTCATGCGGAATTTAAATGTAAAAGGCTCATTTGTTTCACATTTTATTTTAACTAATACAAGATATTTCCATTTTCATTTGTGAGTTTTTGAGCAACTTGTGCGCACAAGATGAAACTTTTTATGTTTGTGACCTTAGTTTGACAGAGTACCATTTTACTTACCTTATTACTTTAGCTCAAAGTTTGCCAAAGAAACAAATGAACAAATGTTAATTGTTTCGTGTATGAATGTTTTATATTCTCCTTTGACAAATGGGCCTTATCTTGACATCTATACAACAAACGCCATTAGGCATATATCATCGGCAATTGATGGCATCAGTTAAATGTCGATCGCTGTGTCAGAAACACTGACTTATAGCAATGGCATACATGTTCAGACAAAGCGTGTTGTCCTCAAATTACTTGAAGGCATAAAACAAGTCATCTGATTTCACGCAAAACTTCATATGTTTTCTCCTGCAGGAGATATACGCAGAATAATATTTCTTTTAATTCTCCAGTTTCTTTTTATATGTAGACTGATCGATTGAGGTAAGCTTTAGCATGAGGCATAAAGATTCAAAACCAACATAAGAGGTTCCAGTTGAGACTACATTTAACACATGAGTAAAATTGTTTTTCCAACCGCTCTTCGAGGTGTCGACTTTGTTCAAAATAAAAAACGTCCATGATTCAGACTGATAATTGATAAGAAATATCACCTCTTCGAATCCTCGTCGTTTGTAAATTGTATCGGTTATAGTACTGACAAGTTAGATGTCAAAAGAAGCGCACTTTGTGAGTGAGTGAGTTGGGTTTAACGCCGCTCTTAACATTATTCCAGTTTTATCACGGCGTGTCAGCCTAATGTGGGAGGAAAGCTCGAAGTGTGCAAATTGTAACTTTTGAATGTAGGAGACGACGTCACCCAATGTTCTAGACGTCGCAGAAAATTAACATATTGACATTCCGATAATAAATTGAATCCTGTTTATGGTCACTGGTTCGAATCCCAGACATATCCGATTACGTTTCTGCTTGTCTGCGCCATACCACCAGACACGTCGGTTTCACCAAAGTGTTAACGTCTAAAACCTGCTTTCACTTCGGGCCCCCCTCCACATCACGCTAACATGCCATGATAAATGAATTGCTGCTGAAAGCCGCGTGAAATCAAACTCGCTTATTCGATACATTTTTCAGCAAACAAGGCACCATCCCTGATCCCCCCGAAACTGACATGCCCCAACGTGACATCCCCCCAGACCGCCATCACGGGGAAGTCAGCCCGAGTAACATGGGAAGAACCGTTTGCGTCAGACAGAATGGAAGGACCAATTGAGTGAGTTACCGCCCTTGATATTACCGTCTACCTTAATGTCTGTTATTTAACGTTCACTCAGCAAACTCAGCCTGGTAAAGGTATCCTATTGTTAATCAATCTCTGTCATACGTGAACATTGGTATAGCCTTAATCATTTAAAAAGAAATGTTTGTTCCTCGTAAAACAAATAAATAAATACCAGGCTCCTTCTTCCCCGTATTATTGAAAGATCTGTCCTTGAACCACCACAGGGGACACGGATGGCCCAGTCGTCTAAGGCGCCGCGATTCGCTGTGCTGAGTTGCGTCCCTTTGGCACGCCAGAAACCTATGATTGTGGGTTCGAATCCCGGTTCACCCCGATTATGTTTGTAGGTTTGTCAGCATCATACCCGTGCTCGTGGGTTTCACCGAAGTGGTAAACGTCTGAGACCTGCATCACTTCGGGCTTTCCTCCCACATTAAGCTGTCACGCCGCGATATAACTGGAATACTGTTAAAAGCGGCATTAAACCCAACTCACTCACTCACTTGAACAACCACAGAGCGACGCTTGTGAAGGGACAGCCATCAGGGAGTATGTTCGACGAAGGCAAGAATTACGTCTATTACAAGGCAATGAACAGGAAAGGACTTGCCACGTACTGCACCATATCCTTTGTTGTGGAAGGTAAGTACGATCACCCTTGATTATCTGGTGTATCAAGTCTTCATTTTATTACGATTTATACTCTGGACCCGTTCACCACTAGGGCTTTGATTTGAGTACGGTTCGAATGACACGCAAACCTTCCCTGGCAAGCGGTGGTATCACCAGTACTCAACACCACTGTTGTGACTCGTTCAGCTTGACCGTTACATAGGTGGTCTGCCTTGACCTTGCTCTCACGAATATCCTGACCTTTACAGATCCGATCTAACTTGACCTTGCTCTTTCGTGTATCTTGACCTTTACAGAACCGATCTACCTTGACCTTGCTCTTTCGTGTATCTTGACCTTTACAGAACCGATCTACCTTGACCTGTTGTTTATCTTGACCTTAAAATATAAAGCTCTACCTTGACCTTGCTTTTTCGTTGATCATGACCTTAATACATTGCCCGTCTACCTTGACCTTGCTATTAGGTATCTTGACCTTTCCATCCATTGATTTATAACATTATATCATTCAATTAAATATATCGAAGCTCGCTCGGCAAGGCTATTTTGAATGTGGATCGAAGCCATCAGATGATACATTTTGTACGTTTGATATTTCAATCCTCTGGGAAAGATTCTGTGTTTGTGTGTCAGGAGAGATGGGGTTTGAAGCGTGACACTCGAAACGAAATGGTGGTTGTGAGTGGGTCCAGGGTATTTGTCATAATAGCATGGAGATTTAGGTGAGGTGAAAGAGGGTTTAACGTCGCGTCCAAGATTATTGCACTTATGTAGCGACGTGCATGTACATGTGTGTACGTGTGTACGTGTGTGTGTGTGGCTGCTTGTACTAGTCCGGACAAATGCCGATTTCATAGTGCTAGCCCACTGAGATACCATGTGGCAGTTTAACATGAATACCCCACTTACACACAGTATACTGACTCAGAGCTGACCAGTCCTTGAATTAGCCCCTGAATGCCGAGCGCCAGGAAGGACAACAACAAGTACCATCTTAAAATGGGGTTTGGTATGACGCGGCCGGGAATCGAACCCCGGACCTTCAGCTCTCCGGGCGGACGCTCTACCACTAGGCCACGGCTGTAAATGGAGATTTAATTCATTGGATAATTAAAGATTGTTGATCGATTTCCCTCATTTGATTATTAATCCATATCGAATCCATATCGAGGCTAAGTTTTAAGAGAGAAGAGAGGACATTATACAATTGATAAATTTTAGCATACGCGAACAGTGGACAATCACAAACGAAGAGATAGATCATCCTAAATAGATATATGTATGTACCAACAAGCAGATATATACCGATCATGAATAGACAGGATATACTCGTGCACACAAAACGTAAGGCCTTGCAAATAAATAATAGCTACTGGTATGTCATTATATTCATGTAATGGTAAAGATACATACCCCGTCTACGTTGACCTTTACATAGACGGTCCGTCGTGACCTTGCTTTCGTGTATATCTTAACCTTAACATAGCCCGTCGACCTTGATTTTGCTCGTTCGTTTAGCGTGACCTTTACATAGCCCTTCAACCTTGACCTTGCTCTTTCGTTTACCTTGACCTTGACCTGTCCCGGTCCCACTCCCCGGGACCAAGTTAATATTCATACTGAAATATCCAGAACTTCTCACCTTACCTGACCTTTACCATGACCCTCAGTATCCCGATGCCTTCGACCGAAGTGGCCCTGGAATGGCCGGATGAAATGTGATGATGAACAGGTGTCTGGCTCTGTGTGCACCTTTTCCTGTAACTTCGGCTATGAGATGAAAGGCGAGAATCAGATCATGTGCCTCAATCAGAAGTGGATTGGAGCAATGCCAAAGTGTGTCAGTAAGTTGCCATTGCGTAACCTATCATTGGTAAACACGGATTTGAAAGTTTTAAACAGGCGTACCTGAAGCCGACTTGAAATGGGGTTTAAGGTCGCGTCCGACAATATGACCGTGATCCTTGGAAGGTACATCCCCTTTGGATATATAAATTGCGGATCATGCAAGCACCATGCCGAGTGTGTGTGCGTGTGTGTGTGCGTGCGTGGGTGCGTGCGTGGGTACGTGCGTGCGTGTGTGTGTTTAAAAGTGCTGGTCCACATAGATATCATGCCGCAGTTTAACATGAATACCCAACTCAGGGTACGGATTCCGAGCCGGTCAGTTTTATCCCGTTAATACCGAGCGCCAGGCAGGGTAACAAGTACCACATTTTAACGTCTATCCACTAAACCATGGAGGCTGAACTTGCCCCACGATGTCCACCAATTCGCCTTGATTAGGTCAGCAATAGTTATTTTTTTAACAATATTGATGTTAAGTTGCAGGCGTCGTTTGCCTGACACATAGAACTATAATTAAACGCCAAAGAGATTAATCGCAACTGGTACCCTATGGAAATACGTTGCTGATAATAGCAGCCATTGTTTTTTGCCAGGACTTGATAAGTTCCATGCCGTCATGATAAACATTTCTGACCACCGAATTAAGATACCCTCACTTACTCAGTGTCAGCCTTGTCTTATCTCCTTGGGGGCACGGGTCGCCCAGTCTTCTAGGGTGCCGCAATTTTCTGCGCAGAGCTGCAATCCGTAGTGCGTGCTCGACACATGATCGTGGGTTCGAATCCGAGATTGAGCCTGATTGTGTTTCTATGTTTGTCAGCACAATGCTGTCCTCGAGGGTTTCATGTGTGATAAACATCTAGGACCTGTAGAACTTCGGGCGTTCCTCACACATCAAGACCTGTGAAGATCAGGGGTAGAATAGGTCTTCAGCAACCCATGCTTGCCGTAAAAGGCGACTATGCTTGTCGTAAAAGGCGGCTAACGGGATCGGGTGCTCAGGCTCGCTGGCTTGGTTGATGAATGTCATCGATCCCAATTGCGTGGATCGATGCTCATTATGTAAATTACTGGATTGTCTGGTCCAAACTCGATTATTTACAGACCGACGTCATATAGCTGGAATATTGCTGAGTGTGGCGTAAAACAACAAACCAAACCAAACCAAACCTCACACATCAAGTTGACACGCACATGTATAACTGAAGAATAATTTTCAAAACGACGTTAAACCCAACTCACTCGGTTCTCTTCTTCTAGTTAAGACATGCCCCACTGTGCCGAAGATCTCTCACGGCGCCTTGGAATGCAAGTCCAAGACTTTGGAGTACAAGACAATCTGTATCCTGAAATGCATAAAGGGGTACTTGCAAGCTGGCTCTGCCATGATGATGTGTAACGGAACAGGAACGTGGACCAAACCCGGATTCTGCAGAGGTTCGTCAAATTTGTTTGTTTGTTGTTTAACGCCGCACTGAGCAATATTACAGCTATATGACGGCGGTTTCTAAATAGTCTAAACCAGACAATCCAGTGACTGACATCATGAGCATCTGTACACGCAATTGGGATGCGATGACATGCATCAACAAAGACGACCATCCGATTCCGTTAGTCGCCTATTACGACAAGCATAGTCGCCTTTTACAACAAGCATGGGTTCGTCAAAGGGTGTTCCGCTAAACATAAACAAAATGTTTCTATTAACAGTCTTGATATGCCGTTGAAGATGGGTATTTTTCAGGCTGAAAAAACTAATCTACCTTTTTGTCAAGAATGTTCCGATTTAAAAAAAACGCTATGTCTTGTCAATGCAGCCATGGTAGGTAACGGGATTTACACTGTTTTCTGCATATTGTTAAAATAACACACTGGCGAACCATTTTGAAAATGTTATGAAAGATATTTGCTGACAGAACAACAGGTGAGCAATATAGATGTATTTAACATTCATGTTGCAATTGTGAGAAGCAAGGTCACATCGTCACTTTTGACATCGTTTAGATTACCGAGCACCATCGTTTACCTCCGGCTGCGTGGATGACCAACGCGCACTAGCGGGGCCTCGAGATAAACCGGTTATGGTCACATGGACAGATCCAAACGTCACCGACAACTCTGGGGGCCATGTCAAACTTTCCTACAGCAAGGAGAAGGGTTCTCGATTCCCACTTGGTCGAACCACCATCGTAGTTAAAGCTGAGGATGCTGACAAAAACGTCATGAAATGTTCCTTCAGTATTTACATTGAAGGTATTTTAAACCCTTTCCTTATGTATCTGTGCACATTTAGCACTATTGCTATTTCGCATAATGCGATCCTTCTTTCGCATAATACACACCAGCCTTGTTTGTTCATTGTTTAACGCCACACACGGCAATATTACAGCTATATGTCGGAGGTCTGTAAATAATCGAGTCTGGACCAGACTATCCAGTGATTGACATCATGAGCATCGATCGACGCAGTTGGGATGCCATGATCTGAATCAACCCAGTCAGCGAGCCTGACAACCCGATCCCCGCCTCTTACGACAGGAATTGTCACCTTTTACGGCAAGAATGGGTTACCTCGGATCTTCACGGGTCTATGTTAATATGACTCGCCTTAATATACTTGTGAGTGGCCATCTAATTGACATTGAGGTTTTCCAAAATGAAACCGTTCACATGCTTGTTGCTCTGGAAAATGTATGTTGGGCCCCCCCAAAAAATTTATTTGTCTGTCACTTTCAAGGAAATATAAATTTTTATTTTGGGTCAAACATTTGCTCAAAACGCTATCGTCTTTTCTACTTACAGCCCAGGTCTGCAAGGACCCCGCCCTCGGCAACACGCTGGACCGAGAGCTAATCATTTACGATTGCCCCAACGGGACATCCCTCGGGTACTCCTGTCTCGTGTCCTGCAAATCCGACTATCCTCTTGTTGGGGCTTCAAGGATCACATGCTCCAAGGATTCGAACACAGAAAAACTTCGATGGACATGGGGAAGCGGCAAGAGCAAACCCTTCTGTAAATGTAAGTCTAGTTAACAAAGAGGTTGCCATCAGACATTTGACCTTCAGCGCCGCAATTTGCTCTGCTGAGTTGCGTGCCTTTGTTGTACTAGTATCCGCAGAAAAATGGGGGTCGCGAATAAAAGTATTGTTTGAGTTGCCTTCCTTGAACTTCGGGGGCGGTTGGGTAGACCAGTAGTTAAAGCGTTCGCTTGTAAAGTCAAAGACCTGGGTTCGATTCCCCACATGGGTACAATGTGTAAAGCCCATTTCTGGTACCCCCCGTATTGAAACAGTGCTAAATATGATGTAAATCACATATCACTCATTCATCTTGGATTTTAGTGTTAAAAAACCCAGTGTCAATAACAACACGATAATTGAAGCCTCATTTTGAGATTAAGCAGCGTTTGGAAAGTGTGATCGATGACAACCTTTATTGAATTGAGTGTTACACAACATACAATACTCGTGAAATAGTCTATGTGACCTAATTTATGTAACCCAACGCCACACAGAGGATGTATATTTCCCAGAGGGTTTTATTAGACCCATCATCATTAATCAATATTCTGAACATATACACGCACATTATTTCCATGTCACCTTTTCTCTTGAAGCCACCGACTGCCCAAAACTGAGGTCACCGATCAATGGCGCCATCGTGTGCGACAAATGGAATCATGGCCGCATGTGCAGCATGCAGTGCAACCACAACTACGACGTCCCAAGACGGGTGCCCAGTCAGTACGTGTGCGGGATGTCCACTGGGAAATGGCGTCCCCACAGTGTCATCCAGGACTGCATTGGTAAGTAAGGCTCAGTCTAAAACGGCATCGACATTGCCATGCGAAAACGCCACCAATGCAAATTTGGTAACACGGCACCAGAATGCGTCCGGAAAATGGCATCATATGATATTATAGATGTACACATAGCTGAAATATTGTCATGAACATAAAGCATAAACTCACTCACCCACTCGCCCACAGATGTACACCTTGCTTCAATTCGCGATGTACATGTAAACGGTGCTGTTTTCGCAAAGCCCGGTGACATTTTCACTTCATGCCGTTTGAACCCCAACAACTGAACATCACATTGACAATATTCCAGCCATACAGTGACGACAGACGATGAAGAACTTGGAGTTTAGTTGTCTGAAATGAAATATGATCAGATTTTCAAGGAGAATACGGTAGTGGATGAATTTGATATTTACAACCTCTATTTCCCACCTTTACACTGCCTTAATTTACCACCTTAATTTACCACTTTACTTTACCATAATTTTTTCACCACCTTTACTTACCATCTTAATTTACCACCTTACTTTACCATCATTTTTTACCACCATCACTTTCCACCTTAATTTACCACCTTAATTTACCATCATTTTTTACCACCTTTACTGACCACCTTAACTTACCACCTTTGTTTACCACCTTTATTGACTACCTTTATTTACCACCGTTACCTATCACCTTAACTTACCACCTTTATTGACTACCTTTATTTACCACCTTTCGTTACCACCTTAATTTACCACCTTTATTGACTTCTTTTATTTACCACCTTTACTTACCACCTTAACTTACCAACTTTATCTACCACCTTTATTTACCAACTATATTGACTACCTTTATTCACCACCTTTACTTACTAACTTTACTTACTACCTTAACTTACCACCTTCATTTACCACCTTAATTTAATACCTTTACTAACCACCTTTATTTACCATCTTTTTAACCACCTTTACTTACCACCTTATCTTACCACCCTAATTTACCACAATTATTTACCGCCGTTACCTACCACCTTAAGTTACGACCCTTATATACCACCTTAACGTACCAACTTACTTACCACCTTTATTTACCACCTTAATTTAGCACCTCCACTTAACACCTTTACTTAACACCTTCATTTACAATCTTCAGTTAGCACCTTTATTTAGCACCTTTACTTACCTATTTTATTGACCACCTTTACTTACCACCTTTATTTACCATCTTCATTTACCACCTTTATTTGGCACCTTTACTTAACACCTTTATTCATTATCTTTACTCAACATCTTTATTTACCATCTTCATTTACCACCTTTACTTATCATCTTTATTTACCACCTTTACTTACCACCTTAATTTAATCATCATACTTGGGATTCCTGGTAAACACAGGACACAAATTACCTATGCTGTTCGTAAAAGACCTTAAATGATTCGGGTGGTCAGGATCGGTGACTTTGTTGATTGAGTTCATGGTATCCAATTGGTGTGGTTGGTTGCTCATGATATCAATCACTGGATTGCTTGGTCCAGTCTCGATTAACAGACTACCGCCAAAAAGCTTGCATATCTCTGAAGAAAGAAACAAACAAAAACAAACAATCCGTGTTACGGACGTAATAATAGTCTTCAACAAAAGTAAGGGATTCTCGGAAATATCTGTCACAAGAACTTTCCAAAACTGTAAGAGATACTAGTTTCTAGTAATAGTTGTATGCTAATTATAAACGAGAACGGGACACATTACAACCGGATGTGACGTATGACAGTTGAAGTTATGACCGCCATCGATCTTGAAGAAGGAGTAAGATGGGAAGTTTCAAATTTGATGCTTCTGGAGCAGTAGTGCGTAACACCGTCACGATTTGTCAAACATTGTCTCCCAATGGCAACTTGAGGGAGTCTTTCTCTCTCCTATTGCAGTGGCCAGGTTCAGTGAACGTGGTCGGCGGCCTATGACGTTGACGCACGTCTCCCTATCATTTCCCAGACGTGTTTACTGGGGGAAATGTCTAGGCTCATTGCTGGCCATTACATTCCATGAATACTGTGCTGCTGGAGGTGAACATTGACGATTTGTGCAAGGTGAGCCTAGGCGTTGTCGTCTTGAAAGACAAAACGTCGACATACGCCTTTGAAACGAGACAACAAAGGGTGGCAATATTATTGTTGTTTCGACAGTACTGTCCAGTGACCATGCGTGAAAAATATGGAATGGGTTTCAGTTCAGTCATCGTGATGCCACCCCACACAATACCCGGCCACCGCCAAATGAGTCATGTGGTCTCAGGTCGATATTGGCTTGACGTTCATTTCGACGTCGCCAGACACGACCACGCCTATCAAAGTAGTGCAAAGTGAATCAGAACTCGTCTGAAAACATGACACGTGACCAGCGATGATTACCCCACGTTTCGACGTTGTGTACACCATTGACACAACAAATGGCAGTCGGGCATGGAGATTAACTGCATGTAGACGATTTCTAATCGTCTGACCCGTAACTCGTACTCCAGTAGACTGATGAAAGTTTGCAGCAATTTGATTCGCCGTTTTGGCGCGATTTCGTAGAGCCTTGTTTCGGATCAATCGATTCTGTACTCACGTCGTTGACATGGAACACCCTGAAATGTATGGAATTGTTGGTACCTGTTCCATAGTAATGTAATCACAGACTGAATATATTGGCCAATGCACGCCAGTTTCCAGCATGACAATAACCCGTAGGCGGTTCTCGCGTTGCAAACGCCGTATCACTAGTTCATACACAGAAAATGAACGAAATCAAGCAGAATCAATAAAATTGTCAGAAATAAAGGTCCACAGACATTAGTCAAAATCAGGAATGACACCCTACGCACGTGTGTGGCGCTACTTCGTGCGGCACGTGAAAACTGTAGGATGTGTTTTGGTGTTATGTTTTACAAATATAAACGTTCTTGCATACGATGTTTGTCAACACTTATCTTTGTTCAAATACTTGGTATCAACATTTATATTTCTTGATCCGCTACTTTTTTTAAAGAGTATATCTAATATTTCAGTGCGGAGAAAACCGTCGAAAATGCGCCTCCCAGCAGAAATGTATTACTACGCATCAAATTGCCCCACGAAAACTTCGATGAAAAACATCAGTAACAACTTCATTAAAATGTTGTCCTCGAATGAATTGTTTAAGGAAGAATGTGGCGAGAAGGTTCCAGACTGCAAAGCGGAAATGGTAGATGTTAGATGTGGGGAAGTTCGCACAAAGCGTGACGTCATTTCCGTCAGGGGACATAACCATGTTTACAAGCGGAGCGCCGACAAGTGTGTGGAGATAGAATTCAATATTGAAATGCCGTACGATGACTTGTCGATGGATGGCAGTGATGTTGCCGTTATTTACAAGAAAACATTCAACAGGATAACAAGCGTTATCGAACATATGTCTACCATTGGTGAGCTGGAGGTGAAAGGGATGGAGACGCGGGAGTCTTCCTTCGCCCCAGGTGTAGCGACAATCGTTTGTCCGAAAGGAACGCTGCCCCGTTTTGATAAAGGTTCATGCTGTGAGTATTACCTTCATGAGATCTTATATAAGAGAGAGAGTAAGAAAGAAAGAAGAGAGAGAGAGAGAGAGAGAGAGAGAGAGAGAGAGAGAGAGAGAGAGAGGGAGAGAGAGAGAGAGAAGCTTGTGTTACGTGTCAATTTCCGATTTGAACCATTATGTTAATCCAGGAATCTGTACCTAATAGAATTTAGTGTGAACCCGACACCCAACCAACATGTGGTTTACAATCAACAATGTGTTACTAAATTAACTTGGTTTACAAATCAATATAAATTACTGCACAGCAATTACAATGGCAGTTTGCAATAGAGTGGTAGTGCAATATTCAATGGCAGTATAAATACAGAATATGGTTGCAGTGGTGGTCAAAATGTTCAGTGATAATAATATTCACCTATCATCTTCCGTGATGGGTGTAGGCTGGGAATCCGGGGTCACACAAAAGCTGGTCTTGATGTAATGTCAGAGGAAATATGTGAGTTGATACCGCTCCTTTTATATAGTCCAAACAGCTTCCAGTACTTTCCACTCATTGCCAGACCAGTCCAGTGTCTCTTGAACATCCCAGAATATTCCACGTTTCATTTATGCTTGACATGCATCCATGCTATTCCGGAAGTTTACGGATAATTCGAACATCTAAATACTATAACTTCCTCACCACTGCCTACATGAAATAGTACTATATTCCGGACAACTAAGCATTGTACATATACAGTCCAGTGAACCTCTTCTGAATCTCAACAGAAACAATGTGATACAGTTGCAATCATTGTTTAACACTAAATTACACTGCCATATAATACTTGATTCGTTTAGATTATGTTATGTAATTATGTAATTTGTTCTCTTATTATCCGAAATATTAACATCTATGACACATACCGTATTCGACGTAATAAGCGCCCATGGCGCTCTCAAAATTAGAAATAGGGGGCGCTTATTAGAATATTATTTTGAGTTGAAAGATCGTAAATTTCGTGGTTTATGCTAACAGCCTGAAATGTTTACATACGACAGATATATTTTTCAAGAATTTAATTGCTCATAATTAAGGGTGCATTTAACACACGAGTGCGTATTATGCACGAATAAATAAGTCTTCTGTACATTGATCAATCGGAAAGGGTGCTGATTGGGATTGTTCACTAGCCAATATATTAGCAAATATCGCCTTGGGCGCTTATTAGAGCGGGGCGCTTATTACGTTGAATACGGTATGTAGTTATGATATGATATAATACATTTTAAGGATATCGGCTTACAAAAATTGTCATCGCAAACTTTAGGTTCAGAAAAATGCAATTACTACATGTTTTTAAGACAATTATTTCTATTTCTTTGATATCAATTTTATAAGGTTTAGAGCAGCTTTAGCACAATTTAGATCAGGCTTTCGTAGACTTGAGTGAGTGGGTATGGGTTTTACGCCGCTTTTAGCAATATTCCAACAATATCACGGCGGGGGACACCGGAAATTGGCTCCACACATTATACCCATGTCAGGAATCGAACCCAGGTCTTCGACGTGACACGGGAATGCTTTCACCACAAGGCTACCCGACCTCCCCACATAGACTTAAAGTAGGCATATGTTGAAAAACCTAGCTAGAGAATTGAGAATGTGTGAGCCATATAATTTAAATGTGATTTACGATGTCCAAAGTACGACTATCTAAGACGTACATATATAGTATTACCTTTTTATGTACATCCCACTCGCAAACAAATTATATCGAGCATATCACAACTGATAATCATACCCTTAAAAACTATCAATGTTTATTTATCATGCTATGTTAATTAGAATATGATCTGTGAAACATAACTACAACCACCACCAAATAGTGTTGTAATATGGGCCTGTGGTCATTCAGTGTGGAATAAAACTTATCCTCACAGATAAAGGGCCTGGGATGCTTGCATCAATATATCAGTGTTTCTTGATAAAGTGTTTCTAAGTATCCCTACAATGAGCAAGGAAAGTTACTTTGTTGATAACGTGTTTATCAACTGTATAAATGAAGTAACACAAAGGCGTAAAGTAATTGTGGTGGATTTCTTGCATTGGTATACAATTTGGTTGTATGTGGTGTTTCCATGTAGATGTGTGTGGGCGTTCCTCCACCTGTCTTTATACATTATATTTCTGCCATTTTGGTGGTGCCCCCCCTCCTCCCCACTGGTACATTGCGTTGTAAAACGATACTCTGCCAGTTGGTAATATGGGTGAATAGATGTCAGTTTTGTTGTACCTGTACACCGTCGGGGTATCTGCAATCGGACCCCAACTTGTGCTGGTCGTAAAAGGGACTGAATAGATCGGGGGGTCAGGCTCAGTGACTTGGTTCATTTGCGAGTCATCCTTGTCCGACAGCGTTGATCGCTGATCATAATATCAGTCACTTGACTCTCCGATCAGAATCAACTATTTGTCGTAAAGCTGTAATATCGCTTAGAGCGGCGAAGTCAAGACGTTTTCCAGCAAACTATTTTTTGTGTGCGACGAGTACATTTTGAGTATATTTAAAGACTGATGCCAAGCACAATAGGGTTTACATATCAACAAACTATGTACACTTTGAATTGATCACAGGCAAAACCAGATAAAGTTTGATAAATTGGATACTTACTAAAATGGATGACAGGTTTGAGTGTCGGAGCTCAACCACTTTATTCTTTCACTGCGACGTTTCGGTACATGTTCAAGGACCTTTCTTAAGCAAGCTTGCACCTGTCGAGGTCTGGATAAACGAGGTTTTCTGTATGTAAATGACTTGCTTTGTGCATTCCCCCAGCTGGTTGTCCAACTGGTACATTCCTGAACAAGACGGACGAGTGTGAGGACTGCCCCAAGGGGACCTACCAGGCCACTTCCCACGCCTCCTCCTGCACCAGGTGCCCTGCAGGAACATCCACCCCTTCTACCGGGTCCCGCACAGCCGCCAATTGCACAGGTACGGCCATACTTTCCCCTGTACCATCCTTAATCCTTTACATGGGTCAACCTTCACTCCACATTGCCATTCGACCAAAACCATGCCTCACCCTATACCAACCTTCACCCTATACCAGCCCCCTTCCCAATACCATCCCACACCCGACACCATCCTTCACGTTATACCATCCTTCACCCTATACCATCCTTGACGTTATACCATCCTTCACCCAACACCATCCTTCACCCTATACCATCCTTCACCCAACACCATCATTCACTCTATACCATCCTTCATCCTATACCATCATTCACCCTATACCATCCTTCACGTTATACCATCCTTCACCCTATACCATCCTTCACCCAACACCATCCTTCACCCAACACCATCCTTCACCCTATACCATCCTTCACCCAACACCATCCTTCACCCAACACCATCCTTCACGTTATACCATCCTTCACCCAACACCATCCTTCACGTTATACCATCCTTCACCCAACACCATCCTTCACGTTATACCATCCTTCACCCTATACCATCATTCACCCTATACCATCCTTCACCCAACACCATCATTCACTCCATACCATCCTTCACGTTATACCATCCTTCACCCAACACCATCATTCACCCAACACCATCCTTCACGTTATACCATCATTCACCCAACACCATCCTTCACGTTATACCATCCTTCACCCAACACCATCCTTCACGTTATGCCATCCTTCACCCAACACCATCCTTCACGTTATACCATCCTTCACCCAACACCATCCTTCACGTTATACCATCCTTCACCCAACACCATCCTTCACGTTATACCATCCTTCACCCTATACCATCATTCACCCTATACCATCCTTCACCCAACACCATCCTTCACGTTATACCATCCTTCACCCTATACCATCCTTCACCCAACACCATCATTCACTCTATACCATCCTTCACCCTACACCAACCTTCACCCTATACCAGCCCCCTTCCCAATACCATCCCACACCCGACACCATCCTTCACGTTATACCATCCTTCACCCTATACCATCCTTCACCCTATACCATCCTTCACCCAACACCATCATTCACTCTATACCATCCTTCACCCTATACCAACCTTCACCCTATACCAGCCCCCTTCCCAATACCATCCCACACCCGACACCATCCTTCACGTTATACCATCCTTCACCCTATACCATCCTTCACCCAACACCATCCTTCACTCTATACCATCCTTCACCCTATACCATCCTTCACCCAACACCATCATTCACCCTATACCATCATTCACCCTATACCTACCTTTACCCAACACCATCATTCACTCTATACCATCCTTCACCCTATACCATCCTTCACCCTAAACCATTCTTCACCCTATACCATCATTCACCCTATACCATCCTTTACCCAACACCATCATTCACTCTATACCATCCTTCACCCTATACCATCATTCACCCTATACCATCATTCACCCTATACCATCCTTTACCCAACACCATCATTCACTCTATACCATCCTTCACGTTTTACCATCCTTCACCCTAAACCATCCTTCACCCAACACCATCCTTCACACTATACCATCCTTCACCCTATACCATCCTTCACCCTATACCATTCTTCACCCTATACCATCATTCACCCTATACCATCCTTTACCCAACACCATCATTCACTCTATACCATCCTTCACACTATACCATCCTTCACCCTATACCATCCTTCACCCTATACCATCCTTCACCCTATACCATCATTCACCCTATACCATCCTTCACCCAACACCATCATTCACTCTATACCATCATTCACCCTATACCATCCTTCACCCTATACCAACCTTCACCCTGTACCAACCTTCACCCTGTACCAACCTTCACCCTATACCATCCTTCACCCTATACCATCCTTCACCCTATACCAACCTTCACCCTATACCATCCTTCACCCTATACCATCCTTCACCCTATACCAACCTTCACCCTGTACCAACCTTCACCCTATACCAACCTTTACCCTATACCATCCTTTACCCTATACCATCCTTTACTCTATACCAACCTTCACCCTACACCAACCTTCACCCTATACCATCCTTCACCCTATACCAACCTTCACCCTATACCAACCTTCACCCTATGCCATCCTTCACCCTATACCATCCTTCACCCTATACCAACCTTCACCCTATACCATCCTTCACCCTATACCAACCTTCACCCAACACCATCATTTACTCTATTCCATCCTTCACCCTATACCGTCCTTCACCCTATACCAACCTTCACCCTATACCATCCTTCACCCTATACCATCATTCACCCTATACCATCCTTCACCCTATACCATCCTTCACCCTATACCATCCTTTCCTCTTTACCAACCTTCACCCTATACCAACCTTCACCCTTTACCATCCTTTACTCTATACCATCCTTCACCCTATACAATCCTATACCCTACAACATCCTTCACCCTTAACCAACCTTCACCCTATACCATCCTTCACCCTATACCAACCTTCACCCTATACCAACCTTCACCCTATACCATCCTTCACTCTATACCATCCTTCACCCTATACCATCCTTCACCCTATACCATCCTTCACCCTATACCAACATTCAACCTATACCAACCTTCACCCTATACCAACCTTCACCCTATACCATCCTTTACTCTATACCATCCTTCACCCTATACCAACCTTCACCCCATACCAACCTTCACCCTATACCATCCTTCACTCTATACCATCCTTCACCCTATACCATCCTTCACCCTATACCAACCTTCACCCTATACCATCCTTCACCCTATACCATCCTTTACTCTATACCAATCTTCACCCTATACCAACCTTCACCCTATACCAACCTTCACCCTATACCATCCTTTACTCTATACCATCCTTCACCCTATACCAACCTTCACCCTATACCATCCTTCACCCTATACCAACCTTCACCCTATACCAACCTTCACACTATACCAACCTTCATCCTATACCATCCTTCACCCAATACCATCCTTTACTCTATACCAACCTTCACCCTATACCATCCTTTACTCTATACTAACCCTCACCATCCTTCACCCTATACCATCCTTCAAGGGGGAGGAGGAGGAGGATAATCCCATTTATACGAATGCCAAGACATTGTGTTCAAATATTAATAAGTAATATATGAAGCGTACTCGTTTCAGAAATGTGTCAAGTCGGGACATATTCCAAAAATGGTGTCATCCCATGCATCAAGTGCCCAATAGGAACGTACCAAGACATCAATGGGAGCAGCACGTGCAAGATGTGTCCGCCTGGACTGACCACGTTGGAGTATGGGGTCACAACGTCGGACGAATGTTCTGGTATTTTTCTGTTTCCGGCCTTTAAGGGGACTAATCCCTGGAAAAAGGGCAGTGTCAGCAACTTTGATTCAAGAACTGAAAAACTTACTTTGTTAGTCTGCTCACGCAAATATAATGATTACCGAAATCAAATGTTTTAACAAATGGCCCTCGTTAGAACGTCAAAACACATTTCATAACCATGGTAAAAAGAAAAGTTTTATGATAATCACAAAATACACAGCTGAGAATCACGTTTTCAATGTCAATGTTGATCCTTCTGACCCCGGGTGGGCGTGGTTGAAGACTTGATTGATGCTTGTAAGATATATGTTTCTTGTTATTTCTTCAAAGACGGAGGCAGAAAGGATCTTTAAGGACGCAGGGAAGTGGCAAACAAAATTTTCACTACACAATTCTTTTGAAGAAATCCTCAATGTTAAGCAAACGATGTTTGTGTTGTTAATGCTGAGACAAAATGACGTTATTCTGGGTATTTTTGGAAACAAATTATTCAGTTATTTTGGAAATTCTTGAACAGCCCTCAAAATCACATTGATGTTCCGTAAACAAATGTATAACAGGCCACTGACCGAGGCATATCAACAAAATCACAAAACGGAACATTGATACCGGCATGTTGCATGTCTTGCAGGGTACGACATGAAACTAGCTCCTGCTGTCAACACGGTGCTCGGGAAAACAACTGCAGTGGTCAAGTCCTTTTCCGTATATTCTTGGTTTTTTATTTCTCCTGGGGAGGTCAAAGCAACGCTACTTAAGTTTATCACTGACAACAACGCAGTCTTCGCTGTTCGATGGAGGTCCGACAAATTGACCATGACCTTTGGAAGGTATATGTGAATCGTGTGTGCGTGTGTGCGTGTATGAATGGTGCGTGTGCACATGTGTTTGTGTGTCTGTGTCTGTATGAGTGTCTGTTTGAGTTTGTGTTTGTGTGACTGTGTGTCTCTGTGTGAGTGTGAGTGTGAGGGACTGTGTGTGTCTCTGTGTGTCTCTGTGTTAGAGCGGGTATGTTGATGAGATTAAACTAAATTCAGTTTCCGGAACCGGATGGTCATTTTCATACACAAAACACTGAAATGCACACAAAATTGTCCCACTTACCCGGACAATACACTTCCGCTGGTGGTAATCCTTTGATTCGTGAGAAGTCAATTAACCAAGTGACACTGAGTTACGTTTGAGACGAGCTTGTTTATTGTACACGTAGTCCCATTCGATAAATATGGCGTCTGTGGAGCGAAACGTAAGTGACACGCAGTTACAGCACCCGAAAAAAGAGAAAATTTGTCTGTTTAAGGAAAAACACCCGTCAGCAAGTTTGGAAACCCACTACAGTCACTCACAAGGAAGCTTGTGCTTGTATAAAGACCTTGATTACATATTACGAGAACACAGGCGATCTGGACAATTTGGAATTATTGTTTAAAATTCAAACCTCAAAATATGATAAGTTCAAACTTCCATGACAGATTTGTTGAAACGTGTATGTCTTGAATAAAGATTGAGTGGATGTATCTGTTTGCTCTGTCATCTGTCATGAGTTGCATAATTGAAGGGAAGTAACCTTTCCAGTAAGAAGCTGGTTTCAGTTATACGGAAATTCGTTTATACGAACGAATTGTGAAATGACGCAAGTGTCCGTATAAACGAGGCACGACTGTATATATGTTTGAGAAAGTGACGTCAAATCAAACGTCGTGACGTCAATATGTCCGTCCAGCTGACTTGTGAAGACCTATAATACGACTGGCCAGGGAGATAGCTGGATTACCTTACGGCCAATGACAAGGATACTCATATAAATGTACCTACCATTTTTGTCAAAGCAGATATGGTCATACATGGAGCAATAAACACTAATAAACATATATTTTACTTCCATAGTAACGCTATAGACGTTATGGCTGAGGTTGCAGTAAACAGCTGGTACCAACTAACCTTGACCTTCGATGCACCGTCCTTGACCATTAAGGCGTACGTTAATGGAACAGCCGCTCTCTCAAAAACCACGTCGAGGTTTCCACAAATACGAAGTACAGTAACGCTAACCTGCTCGACCAACAGTGCAGGTAATTTGAATTTCTAATTGACAAATTGATTCTCTGGAGTTAATAACATGAACCCTTGTGTACGGTGTGAATTTTTTTATAGTGACCCACTATGTTGTTTTAGATAATAACGAATTAGGGTAGTTCTTATTTATTGTTTGTATAGGGTATGAGACATTGTACTTTTTGTAACTTTTCTAAATGTTTCATGTTAACTTAGTTTGATCTTCGTAAAATTTCCCCAGTGGTGAATCCGGGTTTGTTGACTTGCCTTTGCATGTGATTGTGACGGTCCAACCGGTGGGGCACGATACGTTAACTTTTTGGTCCAGGGCGCTGTTGTACAATACGATCTTAGCGCTAAGGTGATCTTAACTCCCATACCTTAACATAGACTTACGACAGTCGTAGCGCTGAGGTTGTTTTGTACAACGGCACCCTGGTATCCCTAATTTGATATCGATTCATAAACACATGCTCATGATACAGTCGGAATCGTAGGCTCCAAACCATTGGTTTGTTAAGACTAGAGTTGTTACAGGCCCCGCTATGGAGCTGAAATATTGCTGAATGCGCAAAATAACATTCACTCACTCACGTGACTCATAAAGACAACTGTTGTAGTTGGGCAGAAATGAGACTGAAAGTGGTTTGGCTGACCGATGACTGTAAATAATACGAGGTCAAGACTAGTTGTTTCATGACGAAACGGCTAAGGAGATGAGTGAGTATGGTATTACGCCGCTTTTAGCAACATTCCAGCAATATCACGGCGCTGAACACTACAAATGGGCTTCACTCATTGTGGGGAATCGAACCAGGCTCTTCGGAGTGACGAGCGAACGCTTTAACCACCAGGCTACCCCACAGCCCTGAAAATAATGATGAGGACTTATTTGAATAATGATTTTAAAATATTACTGACACTGCTTTCAGCGCTGACTTTCTCCGGACTAAATGTCGTTGACAAGGTACTGGGCGAGAGTGAAATTCAGGCCATGTCACGCACGTGCAACTCGACCATCACACGTTCCATGTTCAAGGCCAACATGACCGCCGGACAAATGATCTCCCCCAGCCGCTGTGACGGTAGGCAGTTGTCATACAGGATTTACCGTGGGCATTATAGAGCAGAGCCTGCTACGTGTACCAGGGTGATTTCAAAATTGTAATGTAGAGCTTAACCAAGAAATCGGCTCGCACAGTACTAAATCGTGAAATTAGTGAATGACCACAATGAATAACCATTAAATAATATTCAAGCACACACAGTTTCAGCTTAACAATCAAAAGGTAATTACATTGGGTCGGATAGGTGGCAACAATCATAAGTAACAGGCCCTAGAAATAATGTTTCAAATGTTCATTGTATGATAGGCCGTAGGCCCCAATTCCTGAAGTGGAAACAATACAGTACAGGGTACTTTTACAAGTAGAAACACATGTTTCATGTCTGTACATTTCTGACCTTGAAGGCATAGTTGAAGTAAAACATAACAGATTTTAAATCTTAATAATTTGAGGTTGCCATAAGACGTATAAATTGTTGGACTGACGATCGAGTTACATATTTATTTGGTATATATAATTGCTTTCGAATTTCTTTAAAGGATGGTGAAATGATACACATCTTCGATATTGTTTAGATGACAATATGTACATAATCTTCCAAATTTTGGAATTTTGTGGTGTCCGCGAATCACTATAAACCCTTCTACATCCAACTCGAGCACGAGCAATAACGGAAGCAAATGTACACAGGGTCGAATCTCTGAAATATTTCTCTGCTTCTAGTACTAAATGATAATATGATGGTCCAATCTTGGCTGTACATATCTTTCAAACGGATTTGAAAAAGGTTAACCTAATGTAAGTGCACTCAGAATGTCACTGTTGATTGTCTTGAAATAGGCTAGTCTCCGTACTTGAACCCAGATTAGTGTTGGAAGCAGGCATGTATTCGCTGTTTCCAGACAGGTATCCAATTCTTACTTGGCAAGTTGGTATGACACAAATCAGATCGAAAAGGTTCGGAATCGTCCTCTTGTCGATCTTAGCTACGGACAGACTTTCGAAAATTATCGAACGACCATGTCTGCCACGTTTATGTTTACAAGAAGGGAGATAACCCAAATAATAATAGCAATAGCCCAGCAAAATATCACTGCAGTGGACACCAGAAATGAGCTTCAAACTTTGAGCCCGTGTGGTGATTGAAACCTGGATGAGGGGACGCTTTAACCACTCACCTACCCCACCGCCGTGAACGTAAAAGTGTAAGAAGGAAGAAAAGGCATTGTCAGTCATATGTCTCATAATTGTCTTACCAATATTTGGTTTCCCACAAATTTATGATTTGACATCCCCGTTGGGACCTTATCACACTCAGTCCTTTCAGCTAAATACAGCTAATACACCAAGTAAGGCGCACTGCTTCCTTTCAGCATACGACGCATGCGTAACCAATCCATGTGGAGGACATGAGTGCATCGACACGATCAGTGGCTACGATTGCGCATGTGCTGACGGATACAAGGGAGACAACTGTGAAATCGCCCCAGATCATTGTGCAGAAAACATGTGCGAGAACGGTGCTCGATGCGTTGGGAACAGCGTCAACTACACGTGCGAGTGTGCCACTGGTTACAAGGGGGATCTTTGTGATTATGAAATAGGTAACGGTTTATCAAATATCATCCACGTGGGAGCTGCTGATAGTTGGGTAATTAGTGCAATACATTATCTCTTATATTTAAGCGTCATGCTCACTGGAGTATGCCAACAACTGTTTGATTGTTTGACAAAGTGATCCTTATGAGCGTTTGGTTGTTTGACAAAGTGATCCTTACAAGCTTTTGATTGTTTGACAAAGTGATCCTTACAAGCTTTTGATTGTTTGAAAAATTGATCCTTATTAGCGTTTGATTGTTTGACAAATTGATCCTTGTTAGCGTTTGATTGTTTGACAAAGTGATCCTGATAAGCTTTTGATTGTTTGACAAAGTGATCCTGATAAGATGATGATTGTTTGACAAAGTGATCCTGATAAGCTTTTGATTGTTTGACAAAGTGATCCTGATAAGCTTTTGATTGTTTGACAAAGTGATCCTTATGAGTGTTTGGTTGTTTGACAGTGATCCTTCTAAGCTTTTGATTGTTTGACAAAGTGATCCTGATAAGCTTTTGATTGTTTGACAAAGTGATCCTGATAAGCGTTTGATTGTTTGACAAAGTGATACTCATAAGCTTTTGATTGTTTGACAAAGTGATCCTGATCAGCTTTTGATTGTTAGACAAAGTGATCCTAATCAGCGTTTGATTGTTTGACAAAGTGATCCTAATCAGCGTTTGATTGTTTGACAAAGGGATCCTTATCAGCGTTTGATTGTTTGACAAAGTGATCCTTACAAGCTTTTGATTGTTTGACAAATTGATCCTAATCAGCGTTTGATTGTTTGACAAAGTGATCCTTACAAGCTTTTGATTGTTTGACAAAGTGATCCTGATGAGCCTTTGATTGTTTTACAAAGTGATCCTGTTGAGCTTTTGATTCTTTGACAAAGTAATCCTCATCAGCGTTTGATTGTTTGACAAAGTGATCCTAATCAGCGTTTGATTGTTTGACAAAGGGATCCTTATCAGCGTTTGATTGTTTGACAAAGTGATCCTTACAAGCTTTTGATTGTTTGACAAAGTGATCCTGATGAGTCTTTGATTGTTTTACAAAGTGATCCTGTTGAGCTTTTGATTCTTTGACAAAGTAATCCTCATCAGCGTTTGATTCTTTGACAAAGTGATCCTTATCGGTGAGACGAATTATTGGCTCATTATAGCGAAAAACCTCGTCAGTACTTAACGGGCTTGTATACACCCAACATATCGGCCGTGTGTCTTCACGAGTAATGGTGGTAGGGAGTGTATCTTAAAACGTGAAGTATTGCTGGAAGCTTATATGTCGATTCTGATTCTCAGTACATGGTGAGTGGAGTTCATGGTCCAAGTGGTCATTCTGCAGCCAGATCTGTGACGGAGGGGTCAGAACCAGGACTCGCCAGTGTGACAACCCCCCGCCGGACCCTGACGGGTCCCCATGCAAAGGGAATACTACTGAATCAGCGAGTTGCAACACCAATCAATGCAGAGGTAAAATTACTCATAAAAAAATGGGTGTACGGATTCTGATCAAAGCCAAACAAAGAATCAGGATATAAAAGGAAAACAGTTCGAGTAATTTAATTATGATCATAATAACTAGCTCCATGTAGCGCCAATTTATCAACACCAACAAAGACTTTCTCATAATGTCGATTCAATGTGAATTAAATGGGTGTTTGTACTACGAGTGTAGTATCCTCTATGTACATGTAACAGGAAATCATATCATTCTGACTGACTGACTGACTGACTGACTGACTGACTGACTGAAACCTATGATTGTGGGTTGGAATCCCGGTTCGCCCCGATTATATTTCTAGGTTTGTCAGCACCATACCCGTGCTCGTGGGTTTTACCAAAGTAGTAAACGTCTGAGACTTGCATCACTTCGGCGTTTCCACCCAAATTAAGCTGACACGCCGTGATATAACTGGAATACTGTTAAAAGCGGGGTTAAACCCAACTCACTCACTCACTCACTCACTCACTCACTGACGCGCTCGCTCACTCACTCACTCACTCACTCCATTCCAGAATGCCCCACCCTGAGGCGCTCCTATGGCGTGGTCCCTTCCTGTCACAGGACAGGTGACCTGACCCAGTGCACCATCAAGTGTCGCGATGACCTGGTATTCGCAGAGGAGCCACTTCCTGTGTACGAGTGTGGAGCCAAGACAGAATACAAGTGGAGCCATTGGACTGAAGATCACCCGGAGGGACGACTTCCGCCATGTACTCGTGAGTTGTTTGCTATGTTAAACAACTTTATTTTGACCGTGGAATAGCTCCCAGGCCCAAATTGATTGTTTAAGGTGTTTTTATTTAATGTGACGTATTTCCTGACGCCATCCTTTCAGTTCAGTGCGTACGCAAGGTTATAAGATCCCCACCCCACAAAGATATTTTATACCCTAACGAATTAACAACTCGGTTTGGATTCCAGGTGAGAATACGTCCACAGCAACCAACGCTGGGCGTAAAAGGCGAATAAATTATTATTCTTATTATTACTATTGTTATTCAACATTATGTTCATGTAAATAGCAAACGAAGTGATTATAAGCGGCTTCGTCCCTCTTTCCTCACAATCAGAGTTAATTGTTCACGTGATCATAGGTATAGAAATCCAGATACGTATCACGATGTTAACGGACCAACCATTACATATTCTGGGTCCTGGTATTATTAAAAAAATGGTTCCAGAAAAATGAATAAAAAATTGCCTCAGGTTGTGGCGTACGTGCTGAGCGTCCTTAAAACATGTGTTGTGAAAAAACATTGTTCGTCTCTTTTCAAAGAAGAATATGTCTGAACAAAATTCCCAGCCCCCACAAAAACTTGTCGGTTACAAAAGTTCCCTTGTATATTATATGCAGAGTGTAATTTTATTATCTCTTTACCATCTTATCTCCTAGCTGTGAAGTCGGCCAACGGCTTCACAATGACACGTAAGGTCGACCTGCCGACTCTTCCTTGCACACCCGACGGGAAGTCACATGACTCCGTGACGTCACAAGTTGCCAGCCAATCATCTGATTTGACTTGTATCAAACAGAAATTGTGCAAACCCGTTGTTGACGTGAGGAAGTGTCCAAGTGGGCGTCGACGTCGAGGTGCTGGGACATCTGTTACCATGACGATTAAAACAACAATGGGAAGCGACGCCTCGTTCGACATTGGGAGACTCGTCAATAACAACACAAGTAATTATTCATTTGTTTAATATTATAATCATTACTGGTAACTGGTAACATCCTAGTTATATACGCATTGATCAATATTAACATACTACAAAGCACTTCCCAATGTTAACATCCCCTATGTCAAAGCACTTTCCCATGTTAATATCCTTCAGAGCGAACGCCTTGCCAATGTTAACATCTTCTTTGTCAAAGCACTTTCCCATGTTAATATCCTTCAGAGCGAACGCCTTGCCAATGTTAACATCTTCTTTGTCAAAGCACTTTCTTGTGTTAATATCCTTCAGAGCGAACGCCTTGCTAATGTTAACATCTTCTTTGTCAAAGCACTTTCCCATGTTAATATCCTTCAGAGCGAACGCCTTGCCAATGTTAACATCTTCTTTGTCAAAGCACTTTCCCATGTTAATATCCTTCTGAGCGAACGCTTTGCCAATGTTAACATCTTCTTTGTCAAAGCACTTTCCAATAATAACATCCTCCTGAGCGAACGCCTAACATTCTCTTGATCAAAGCAAGTCCCAATACAAACATCCTTCTGAAGGAACTACACTGCCAGACAAAAGGATCATTACGCTTGAAAACTGGATTTGACCAAACAAATACAAATGTTATCAAAACGATAATCGGCTGAAAACATGAACCGAAACAACGATACTCGTATCAAATACATCACCATCGAATAACCTTCTTTGTTTCACATTAAACCATCATCAAACTTGGGTGTATACTTTCTTTTGCCTGGCACTTTACTTCCTAATGATAACATCATTTATATAGGTATCAAAGCCTTGTTGCATTTTCTACTAGAAACAACCAACAGTGTCACAATTTCGTGGCCGACATTTGAGCATATGGAGCTTACGAAGAGCCTCCAATTCATCCCCCTGAACATATGTATTGTCATGGGAGATATAATACACCGAATATCAGAGGACTGTTTTACTGTCTCTTTCAGTGACCATGGGAATGCGGAAATATCTGAAGGCGATGCTGACATTTGAGCAGTCGGCACAACAGGTGGTTAACAACACCGGCAAGGTCTTCTCCGTTGTCGTCAACGGCGTGACGTTCAAGCCCGACGTCAACTCCGCCACGTCCGAAGTTGAAGTTGAGTGCAACCCAGGAGAGGTGGACTCGGGTGGCGCCTGCAGTAAGTGGAATAATTTCCTGTAGATTTTAGTTTTGGGGATGGGATATGTGTTAAGATTTTTTCGGTCACTGTTTCAAAATATACATTTTTTGTTTGTGTTCGGAGGAGCCGAACGACGTTTTTTGTTTGTTTGTTTTTTACATTTTTAAAGATTTTTAAGTACTTCTTTTTTATAATCATTTTCTGGAAAAAAAGATTTTCTGATCACGCTCCTCCTCCAACGAATATTAAATGATGATTCTGTGGAAAAAAAACTCCGATGTAATGTGAATGCATCAGTATTTACACTGAAAATAATTTAAATGTTATTTACATGTCACGTAAAAAATCAGATGAATCCACTCTCGAGCCAGGTCATATTGTAATGCTGGATATACATGCTCTTTATAATTTTTATAATTTCTTTAAAGGATTATACCTCTGTATTATCTGTATCTTTTACATGTGTTGCCTTATTCACATCTGAGTGAATTGAGTCAGGGTTGACTAGATTCAATCTGAATTAACCTGCGTCAATTAAACATAGCGCATAAAATGCTGCCTCAGATACAAAACAAAATGGCTGCCAGGAGAAGGGAAAACACAACAGACATGTTTATTGCCACATCACACAACTGTGAGTCGTTAACACGTGTTTTATTGCTTGACAAGGATGTGATTGTACCTTTCCTAGTCAATGCAACAACAAGTTATAACCAACGGGTAAGACATCAACCTGAGACGAAGTTGCATTATTGATTCTGATGTATTTTATTTTATCAACAGTGAAGTTATAGAGGATATTTGATGTGTCGAGTAAATATCATGTTTCTCTCACCGAGTGACGGTGAGCGAAACATGATATTTCACTCGACACATGAAATATCCTATTTATTAAATACTTTTGGTGTAGTTGTCTGCAGGAAGATTAAATTATTTCATTACAAATGTAAAACTTTCAAGCGTAAATTCTCCCTACATAACACACATGGACGGTTTTCCACCCCCTGTAAGTACGACTAAAACTGTAGTTCCGTCTTTGCTAAATCTTAAAAAATATATAAAAAAGTAACCAAAGATATTTGATGTCACTAAAATTCTTTAGTATACATTTGGATATGATTATATACAAAATCAACTTCATCAAAAAATAAATTTCAAATCAATGAGACAGTTGTTCGAAGCGAAAGAATACACGCAATTCAAGTAACAAAATGGCGCTTTGCGAAACGTAAAGTATCGGCTAACAAATCAGAATAGAAATTCACAGTTTAATACAAATCATTTTCAACAAAATAACAAACGGTAAGAATCGGTATTAACTACATAAATGACCATCTGTCATTATATGACTTGTCAACGTTGAACTGACGTAAATCGACAGTTTGTGTACGAGCTGTCTCGTGTAGGCCAACATAGTTCCGTCAACCTCTTATGTTCACTGCAGTGAAATATCAAGTGTCCCATATCAAGTGTTATGTTCACTGCAATGAAAATATCACTTTTCTCAACTTCAGAAAACTCAGTCTTTCACACTGAAGTATATAATAAAAATTACCCTGACGCATATCAGTCAATTTTTTATTTCTTAATACTAAGAAGGGCATAGACCTATAATATATGTATACAAAGTAGTGGAGCGTACATTTATGAATAATTGCCGTAGACGTGTATCACATCGTGTTTGGATGATGTGTTTTGAACTGATTAAGTTTGAACTAGTGTTTAAAATATTTGTTTCATTTCTAAAGTGGTAACGTTTCTTTTGGATATCTGGGGATACGGGTGGCGCGGTCGGCTAAGGCGCCGCCATTCGCTGTGCAGAGTTGCGTCCCTTGGGCACTCCAGAAACCTATGATTGTGGTTTCGAATCCCGGTTCGCTCCGATTATGTTTCATGAATTTGTCAGTACCATACCCGTGCTCGTGGGTTTCACCGAGGTGGTAACGTCTGAGACCTGTATCACTTCGGGCTTTCCTCCCACATTAAGCTGACACCCCGTGATATAACTGGAATACTGAGCAAAACTTGGGCAAGTGACTTACACTCTTCAGAAAACGAAACGCACAGGTAGTATATATTGGACATATGTTATTGGAAAATGTTGGTGGCCTGATATTCGACAAACGGTGCGTCTAAACGCAGCCATTGTCGATTTGCAATGTATTAAACGGCATTGTTTTCACACTTGTTCAAATATGTCATGGAGGAAAACAGTAAAGCAAAATCTACGACGTGCAAGTTATGACATTCGTAATACGTGGTAGTGGCTACAAAATTGCAAGCATAAGCCAATGATTTGCCATTCAATAGTCAACATTTTTCGAGTTCGGAAATGGCGAGAACCGGCCGACCAAGAGTTAACGCCCCTGCACAGGATCGCTACATTCGACTGTTCCACCTACGTCATCGCAATGCCAGATCTCAACCCAATCGAACACCTCTGGGATAACTCGATCGACGTGTACGTCAACGCCAAGACACGCCGCAAAGCTCCCACAACTGTCCAACGCGTTACAAGCAGAATGGCGCAGAATTCCGAAGGACAGAATTCGTACACTTATCAAGTCAGTGCCGAGGAGATGCAGAGCCGTGATTACTGGCCAGGGTGGTCACACGAAATACTGAGTTCAGCGCAACCTTATAATTATAGCCTTTTGTGACAAAACAATAAACATTTGTCAATCCCTTCGTGCAACGACAACGTGTGACTATCGAGTTCCAAAATGTTATATTTGTATCTATGATATTAGATTAGATATATCGACTTTATTAGGTACAATAAATTTACTAAAAATCTACCTGTGCGTTTCTTTTTTTGAAGAGTGTAGTTCAAATGTGCCTCTGTTCACCCAGCAGGGAATGGGTACCCGATATGTGAGGCGGATGTACAAACCTTCTAGAGCCCCATGGGCAGCTTGGGTTGTATACTCCCAAGGGAGTTGAGAATAATAAATGGAATGCAAACGGATCCACTGGTCGGGGAACAAATAAAACCGCATTTGAGCAGATACTAGTACCTAGATACCTGCGGTATATAAATGTATAGTTTAGTTAATTAATTTAATAAATGAATCTTTTCAATAGCTACAATATTCCCGAATCATCACATTTCGGTTCCATACATCAAAATTCGCGAGAAGTTTCTTAGCTTGTTTTCCTTAGACCATGACAATCTCTTGATAAAATAAATATCAAAATATTTTTAAAAAGTAACGACATCTAGACGCATATCCGAATACGTATATACCAGAGTGTCGCATCCCATGGGATATAGCTTTGTCAACGCGTGTACGCCAAGGTTGTCCACGGTTTTGAAATTGAACACGAGCAGTTATAAATCACGGCGTGGGAACTTCATGAGAGAGGAAAGACCAAAGTGATGCATGTCTTAGACGTTAAGTCTTTGGTAAACCCACGAGCACGGGTATGGTGCTGACAAACCGAGAAACACAATCAGGGAGAATCTAGGATCCCTTCTAATACAGGAAGGAAGACCACCCGTCGTGGTAGTTGGTTGGTTTGTTTGTTGTTTAACGCTGCACTCAGCAATATTCCAGCTATATGACGGCGGTCGGTAAATAATCGAGTCTGGACCAGACAATCCAGTGATTAATATCATGAGCATCGATCCACGCAATTGGGATCGATGACATGCATCAACCAAGTCAGCGAGCCTGACCACCCGATCCCGTTAGTCGCCTTTTACGGCAAGCATGGCGTCGCGGTAGTAGTGAGGACATTACGCACGTAACTGGAAACCAGTTTTCTCGAAATGCTTTTTAATGGTGGCGGGTAGCCAAGTGGTTAAAGTGTTCCATGAAGTCCGGGGTTCGAATCTCTAAATGACGTAAACATGAAGGCACGGGTTGCCTGGCAAACAACTGACAATATGTATTTATTTTGTAAACCTTGAGGTAAATTTAGTTTTAATTTCTCAACCCATGCAAGGCCTTCACGTCACATTCGCCATCAAACATATAACACTATCTCGCAAAAATGTATATTACAATGCTTAGGATATCTGTTTATTCTACTCAAAAGAAGTCAAATAACACTCGATTCTTTCATATCACTATCGGGGGCGCGGTGGCCCAGTCACCTGTGAAGAATAGCGTCCCTTAGGCACGCCAGAATCCTATGATCGTGGGTTCGAATCCCGGTTTGCCCTGATTATGTTTCTTGGTATGTCAGCATCATACCCGTCTCGAGGGTTTCGTGACAAACGTGAAAGCTAACGTCACGTCGTGCTTTCCGCCCACATTCAGCTTACACACCGTGATATAACTGTAATAATGTTCAAAGCGGCGTAAAACTAAACTCACTCACTCACTCATAACATATTAACTATATTCATGTTAAAGAATCGGGTGATCTTTATCTTCTTTTGAATAGTATATACATTAACGTATGTAGAACCATACAGTAGATATACCCTTCGTGTAACCGTACTGAAATGTTGAACTTGCAAAAATGATGTCGCATGTTATATTATGTTACAGTGCATATCAAGTGTCAAGACCTCGGTCATGACATTTCTTCAATAATTGACATCAAACTTAAATTTCACATTAAGATTGCAAAGACCACATTCCGTCATTATAGAATGCGCAATATAACGTCATCCTAGATAATACTTTATTCATGTGAAATGTTCAAACCGACCTCAAACAGCGTTTCCGATATCGCTGACATATACTTCGTATTGATCGCGTATCAATTATTTATTTAGATGACCTAGACAATAGAAACTTAATACTTCGGAAACACAAAACGTATATGGCTGTTTTGAACAATGGAAAACATACGTTGTGACCTGTAGAATATACCGGTGAATATTTTTAAACTGTAATTTATAACTGTGCGAAAATCGATAGGAATATTTCTTTCATTTTAATGTAATATGATGTTGTTGTGAAAAAGGTTCATTTTGGTGCTTGTATTAATTTAGTGACACCGAAGACCTCCATCTACACCTCAAAAGAGATGGCCATATTATATAAGTAGTCTCAAAAAGCAAAATAGCCCATCCAAAATATAAAACATATTGTTGAATATAGTTTTGAAATATACAAACCTTTCCCATTTTCACTCTATTAAATCATTCATGACAACTTTTTTAGGCAGCGCAATGAACAGATAAGATAATTAATAATTTAAACTAAAAGAATAAAAATATCCTACATACAATCTAACCTTTCAAATGAAAGATGCCGGATAAATCTTTGGAAGGAACACGAACCGTGCACATATAACAAAAAAATATATATTTAAAAAAAAAAAATCAATATGTTGTTTTCCACAATATCATGTTTCGTCTATCAACGACCCGTGAAGATCCGGGTTAGAATAGGCCTTCAGCAACCCATGCTTGTCGTCAGAGGCGACTAACGGGATCGGGTGGTCAGGCTCGCTGACTTGGTTGATGCATGTCATCGTATCCCAATTGTGTAGATCGATGCACATGATGTTAAACACTGGATTGTCTGGTCCAGACTCGATTATTTACAGACCGCCTTCATATAGCTGTAGTATTGCTGAGTGCAGCGTCAAACAAACAAACAAACAAATATACGCACAATACCTATCCCTTGAATCACCCTTACAATACCCGCATTGTGTACATGGGAGACGTTCCCACTCAACTGTGACCCGAATCTGTTCAATTGTATAAACACTAACTCATACATGTACTTGTATATATGCTAGTCCATACTCGGTACACCTCTTGCTTGATAACGGTGTTAGAACCTACACCGAAACATCGTTCCATATTGTTGTTCATCCATATATGTTATCCTCACTTTGTTCTCCATCTTCTGTATGCCCCTCAAAGGCTTATCTGTCTGTACATGTCATTTTCCTTGCAAATAAAATATGTTATAGTTTCATGAGGGTATGTGGCACAGTTTGTCGCTGTGCAGAGTTGCGTCCCTTAGACGTGCCAGGAACCAATAATGGGTTCGATTCCCAGACTCGCCCTGATTATGTTTTATAGGTTTGTCAGTACCATATCCATGCTCGTGGAATTCATCAACGTTTTAGATATCTTAGACCTGCATCACTTAGGGCTTTCCTCCCACATCAAGCTGACACGCTGTGATATAACCGAAATCAAAGCGGCGTTAAGCCAAACTCAATCACAGATATTCAAGACTAGCGCACCTGCCAAGTCACGAGATCCCACTTCCGCTCATTGAGAACCAGTCGTAAATCCGTGTAGAAATTATTATTCAACACAGTCAGCCGTATTACGAGAAAGATACCAACAGTTGAACAAATGAAGTCAGTATATAATTATTGAAACTACCGTCGTCCGGTTGTCCCGCCTAAACTTAAAGGGGAATTACTACTCACCCATGGTTCGAGTCCATGCTGAATTGGGCGATGGTACTTAACTCGCCAGTTTCCTTATATACTGAAGCGCGTAGAACCGGGGCAGTAGCCTAGCGGTTAAAGCTTTCGCCCGTCACCCCGATTGCCCGGGGTCAATTCCCCACATGGGTACAATGTGTGAAGCCCATGTCTGGTGTCCCTTGCCGTGTCACTTTGTAAATGGAGGCGGTCGGGTAGACTAGTGGTTAAAGCGTTAGCCCGTCACGCCGAAGACCCGGGTTCGATTCGGGAGTATCACTTTGTAAATGGAGGTGGTCGGGTAGACTAGTGGTTAAAGCGTTAGCCCGTCACGCCGAAGACCCGGGTTCGATTCGGGAGTATCACTTTGTAAATGGAGGTGGTCGGGTAGACTAGTGGTTAAAGCGTTAGCCCGTCATGCCGAAGACCCGGGTTCGATTCCCGACATGGGTACAATGTGTAAAGCCCATTTCTGGTGTCCTCCATCGTGATATTGCTTGAATATTGTTGAAAGCGGCGTAAAACCATACTCAATCACTCACTCACTTTGTAAATGGGGAGATAGGTTAAGCCCGTCATGGCCCACGCAAAATGACAAGTAACAAAGTTGCAGAAACGTTTGAAATATTGATAAAAAACGATCAGCCATTTTCCTTCTTACACTTACAAGTTTTGGACTTTTTAAATATACAAATGTAGCTAAAATGATGATAAAAGCTGATTTTGTAACTGTAAATGGAAATCATGTTAAAGTCCGTTACCCAACAAAATGAACTTTTTTTATTTCCTGTGAAATCTGCTTGGGTAAAAGAATTAGTCTTTTTTAAATATTTCCCCTCTAAAATCAGCCTTTTAGACACATTTTAGCCTGAATTATGCACTTGTGTTGTCGTTTCAAACATGTAATAGTTGAAATGAACAAATTTTATTTTTTATGATCTTATTTCTTTTTTGGAGTACACAAACAATTTCTTGTTTGATGTGTGGGAAATGTGGTATGGAGTTGGGAATGTTTGATCTGAATATTATTTGCATTGTTACAGTTATAATATGATTTAATACTTCATTTCGTTTTTGTTGAAATGAACAAATGCCTATAAGCACATCTGATAACTTTCATTAATAATGCTGTAAGAGGCGACTAACGGGATCGGGTGGTCAGGCTCGCTGACTTGGTTGATGCATGTTCCAATTGCGTGGATCGATGCTCTTGATATCAATCACTGGTTTGTCTGGTCCAGACTCGATTATTTACAGACCGCCGTCATATAGCTGGAATATTGCTGAGTGCGGCGTTAACAAAAAAACAATCAACCAACCAATAATGCCAAATATTTTACACATTATACAGATCCTGTTGTTCAAATACTACCTCGTTCTTTGTATCGTATCTCACAAACAACAACATGTGAATAGGTGTGGTATGCCGTATTCACATTTTTTTGCAGTTGATTTTGCTTTTGAAAAAGGGTGAAAAAAGTACTTTCTTTTTAAGGTGAATGTCCCGCCGGAAGCAGCGAGAACAATGGCGCATGCGTACCATGTGAGCAGGGCAGTTTCCAGGAAGCAACGGGTTCAACTTCCTGTAAACAATGCCCTAAAGGGAAGACAACTCTGGACGTTGGTGCGAAGAGCAAAGCGGAATGTACCACTGGTATGATTCGTCACAACTCGCTTGTTGTTTTATTAACCCGCTTGGCCCACTTTATCCGTTTTGTGTGCGAGAGCGAAAAATCAACCAGGGAGCGCGTATAGCTATAAGGGACCGACCGTCTGATATTCTTGGGAGAGCCAGGGATTTGTATGGAGAGTAGATTTTTTTAAGCCGCAGCTGCAAAACCAGATATTTTTTTTAAGATTATAACTATGCGCCCAGTTATTTTTGTCTCTAAAAACAATGTAATTTATGTGACAGCCAAAGTTCTTTATTTTTCAACAGTCTAAAGCATATTTATTTTTTTCAAGAATTTCCTGGAGCAATAAATATTTTCGAAAAAAAAACCCAGTCTGTTGTGACGTTGCTCAGTGTAGCGTTAAACAACGAACAAACCAACATAAAACGCCAAGCCGCAATTGAGTTGTTATATAAACATTAACTTAATGTTCGATCTCTCTGCTTATATTTTGGACATTACGGAAAGCTTCTTAATGGTGAATAGAAATGAGTAATACTTTTTTATCCCCCGCCCCAACGAAGTTGGCGGGGGATATAGAAATGGGTTCCGTGTGCGTGCGTGGGTGCGTGGGTGCGTGGGTGCGTGCGTGCGTGCGTGTGTGTGTGCGTGCGTGCGTGCGTCCCGAAATCGTTTCCGGAGCATAACTCAGAAACCGTTAAATATTTCTCTACGAAACTTTGCATGTCTATCAGACTCATGCTGAACTGCTGCCTTTTGCTATTAAGGAATTTTGTAAATTTTTATTTTTTACGTTTCCAATGCAACAGGTTGGACTTAGGTTCCATAATGGTGCTGTTCGTTTCCGGAGCGTAACTCAAAAACCGTTAAATATGTCCTGACAAAACTTTGCATGTTTACCAGAAACATACTGAACTGGTGCCTTTCGCTATTTAGGAGTTTTATAAATTTTTATGTTTTACGTTTCCATGGCAACAAGTTGGACTTAGGTTCTATTATAGGGTGGGTTCACTTATGGAGTATAACGAATAAACTGTTTAATTTTCCCTGCATCACTTCGGGCTTTCCTCCCACATTAAGCTGACACGCCGCGATATAACTGGAATACTGTTAAAAGCGGCGTTAAACCCAACTCACTCACTCACTCCAAATCATTGTATGTTTTTGTGTTATAGATCCCAGTAGCCACAGTGACAACCGGGACACCACTCAAGGTACGGAGATGTTCGCTGAACGCTTGATTCAAAGATCTTTGTTAGTTGTGAGGTCACTCTTGTTACATCTTACCGAGGAAAAGGAGCTTACAGACTATAAAAGACCAGTTTCCAACCTTGCCGAACTAGGCTGGAATTATGGAGTTATATTTTGGCTTGACTTTTTTTCTGTTGATTGCAGGATTTGCAAAGCATGTTAACGCCGGCTCGGCGTCAACAGATATTTTCCACATCTTTTCATGTTTTTAATCAAGGTGCTCACGTGTTTTAATGCACTTCATTAGATTAACGGATTAGACCCGTTTTATTACAATATAGATTTTGATTATCAACCAGATCGTCTTGACTCGGCGCCACCATAATTGCTTGAAGCAAATGCAAGTTATGTGAGAGGTGGAATCCCTGATTGTTTAATAGGAGAGGCATAGAAGGGACATACAATGTAACTCGTAATTGCCACTGGTGGCGCTACGATCGAGCCAAGAAATTCCAGCCCTGTTCGGCAAGGGTGGAAACTGGACTTTAAGTCAGTTATCCCCCTTGCCTCTGGAGATGCTCTTGTTATCACTCTGACGGTGAATCATGTATGTCGAAATATATTGCTGGGAAAAGGTCATTATGATTATAGTGTTTGTTTGTTTCTTTGTTGTTTTACGCCGCACTCAGCAATATTCCAGCTGTATGACGGCGGTCTGTAAATAACCGAGTCCGGACCAGACAGTCCAGTGATTGACATCATGGGCATCGATCCACGTAATATGGACACGGTGACATCCATCACCTAATACAGCGAGTCTGACCGACCGATCCTGTCAGTCGCCTCTTACCACAAACATGTGTTGTTGAACACCACGTCTATCCCGTAATCTTCACGGGGCTATTGATTAAAGTACTTGAATGAGTAACATACTGCCTTCAATAGAAACGATAGTAACAACCCTTTTATATTGTTTTGCAGAAGCTCCAGTGGAAGATAAATCAGGTAATCCATTTGACATACAGAGAGAAACATCAATGAATAATGTTTACATGTAGCTATGTGTTGTTGTTGTTAACGTACTCGGCGGTATGTAATTTACAGAGTATGAGGTGAGGTGAAATGGGGTTTAACGTCGCGTCCAAGATTATTGCACTTATATAGCGACGTGCATGCACGTGTATGTGTGTGGCTGTTTGTACTAGTCCGGACTGATGCCGATTTATAGTGCTACCACAGTATACTGACTCCGAGCCGACCAGTCCTTGTTTTAGCCCCTTAATGCCGAGCGCCAGACATGGTAAGAACAAGCACCATCTTTTAACGTATTTTGGTGTGACGCAGCCGGGGATCGAACCCCGGACCTTCCGCTCTCCGGGCGGACGCTCTACCATTAGACCACGGAGGCGGTCTACAGAGTATCAGAGTATGAACCAGGTAACTCAATGATTGATATTACGAAGATTTATCGCCCAGGGGGGCGGGGAGGAGGTGGGGGGTGCTTTATTCTAACCGGGATACCTATGTGGTCTCTGTCAGTGAGAGCGAAGTGAATGAGCGTAGGTGTGCCAAGTTACAATGTTACAACAACGTCATAGTTCTAAATGTATAATCTGGTCAAGTTAAACCAGAGGCTGATAGCATGAGTGTGTGAATATGGTTTTAGCCCGCGCATATCATTATTCCGCGTTACTTCATACGCTGACACATAGCATTGTTTTGTTCAGGTTCGGATCGCACAATGATCATCGTCCTCTCCGTCATGATCACTGCCATGGTGTTCTCCATCACCGCTGCTGCTGTACTCTGGATTGTCAAGATGAAGAAGTAAGTTTTGCCCATGTTATATGCCTAGGAGAGTGAGTGCGTTGGGTTTTACCCCGATCTGCATGGTTTGTCCGTTGCCAGAAATGACTGGACGCCCTTTCAGACTCCACGGCTCCACTTAATCATTTATGTCCTGCGTCATGATCTTGGTATTTATAGATATACAGTAAACTACGGTTATAACGAACACGCTTATAACGAAATGACGGATATAACGAACTTACTTTTTTGGTCCCGACTATTTGCTGTGCTTATGCTGTATATATGCTTATAACGAACTAATGTTATATCGAACTAACATTAGTAGTCCCTTTGAGTTCGTTATAACCGTAGTTTACTGTATTTTACTAAACGCTAAGGCAAGTCTAGACTTAACCAAGTCTAGTTTCCTTGATTTCATATGAAATCAGCAGAAGAGGGAAGGTACGTTTGAAGAAAAATAATTTCAATTGTTTTAAAGGAATGTTTTCATAGACTGTGTAACAGCAGAAGAGGAAAGGTTTTTGAAGAAGAAAATACAATTATTTAAAAGAAATGTTTTCATAGACTAGGTGTTAGTCTTAGCATCAGTCTACCTAAACTATTTCTTGTATACACGGGTGGCCCAGTCGTCTAAGGCGCCGCGATTCGCTGTGCAGAGTTGCGTCCCTTGGGCACGCCAGAAACCTATGATTGTGGGTTCGAATCCCGGTTCGCCCCGATTATGTTTCTAGGTTTTTCAGCACCATACCCGTGCTCGTGGGTTTCACCAAAGTGGTAAACGTCTGAGACCTGCAACACTTCGGGCTTTCCTCCCACATTAAGCTGACACGCCGTGATATAACTGGAATACTGTTAAAAGCGGCGTTAAACCCAATTCACTCACTCACTCACTATTTCTTGTATTTCTTCGTCATTGTCTGTGAGTGAGTGAGTTGGGTTTTACGCCCCTTTGATTGGCATGTTAGTGGCCAGAAATGATTGGACACATTTTCCAGACTCCAAGGCTCCAAAACATCTGTCTACCTGAATCTAAGTCACTGACTGTGAGTGAGTGAGGGTTAACGCCGCTTTGAAAAGTAAAGTGGAATCTGTCAAACCCTGATCAAATTCACTGAGTCTAATTTTCTACGTTAATTTATCATCAAGTCAAATCTGCCTTAGACAGGTTTCCTTCACTGCCAATGTCGTACAGAAATTGTGAGACAATGGACCAATCATTTAAACCCAAATCATTCACTGACGTAGACAAGTGAGGCTCAGCATTTCATTATGTTTCCTATGTCTATTACTGTTTTATCCCGTCCTGAATGTCTTAATGTCGAATCTATGACCAGGTGAGCTTTAGATTCACGGCGCCTTTGCTTCGTTAAATAATACCATGTACTTTGTCATTATTACAGAGTGCCAAATGGAAGCGTATTATGGGGCGATTCGGGGCGTAACAAAGTGAACCCTGACCCCGAGGTTGAGAACGCCCCACCGCCTTACCCCGCCGTCTACATCCCTCCCCCTCCCCCTCCCCCATACACCGCAATGGACGCTCTCAACGCACCTGCAGCGTCTTTCCGCCCCAACACGGCGAGTGACGTCCAGCTCCGCGTCATGCCCGCAACCAACTCCCCTCTGATTAACAGGACCGTCCCCGCTGCCACTCAGACCAGCCTTGGCCCGACCCCTTCTACCACCCCCCGGAGTTCCAGAAACGCCTCCCCAAATAGGTCCCCCTCCCCTACCCCCTCCCAAAATAACTCCCGGGGTTCCTCCCCAAACCCATCCCCGGTCCCTGGTCGTCACCTCTCCAGCAACGTCAACAGCCAGGCACGTTCCAGGTCGTCATCGCCGGTCACAGGTTCAGCGAATGACACCCCAGCCATCCAAACCCGATTCATTGCTGAAGGAACGACCGTGGCTGGCAACACAGCGCACTGCTCTAAAATGATTCGTAGTCGATCAGCCTCTCCGAATCATCGTCTGCCGTCACGGAGCCCGTCTCCTGCCAGAAGCTTGGCGGATTTCGTTGGAACCTGCCAATCCGGAGCCCCGAGCACCCCTCCTCCCCCGGCTGCAATCTACAACCTCCCCGCCCCATGTGCACAGGAGCCTGTCCTCTCACCCATCAAGAGAATCAACACCGGGGACTCGGGGGAGATCCACCCACGGGTCAAGTCCGCTCACCGCGTCATATCCTCATCATAACTCTGTCCAATCATGACGTCGACGTTTGGCTTGCGGATTGTAATATTTATCATTTATTTTAATATCGCAAGATCAATGGGAATGACAATTTCGCATATCTAGCGTTCAAATACATCTACGCAAAAATGCTTTAGAAACCATATACAAAACTTCACTCAGTGAAGTATAAACAGTCGAGGAACATCATTCCCACCCTTATAGAACTTTACAATCACAGTGATCGTTGTAGGTACGCATTCGATAAGGTGACCCGAATAAGAGTGTAAACTCTGACGTTTTTCTATATGAAATTATTATTTTTAAATCGATTGTTTAAGTTTCGGAGCATGCATGTTTCGCCCCGTTGGTCGGCAAAAAATGACGGCTGAGCGATGTGGAACATGATTTTAACCTCTGGTGTTCAAAACTTTCAAACAATTATCTTATCGAAGTGACCCTTTCTGAACTCGTGCCATTCATGATCACTTGTGACACGGTGACAAGTCGAATCGCCACTCGTATCTCAGTGCACGATTCGGAAATACACTCACATGTGACGAATACACTCACATTCCATTAACATGTACTGTGCTTACTGTACACAACTCATCATTTGAAAGGCATACTAAGATACTGCAGAAGATGCACTTTTATCTGTTCCATAACAAAGTCGAATACTATGTGTATGTCGAATACTATGTGTATGTCGAATTCGAATACTATCCGTATGTCGAATGATATATGTATGTCGAATACTATATGTATGTCCCATACTATCTGTATGTCGAATTCGAATACTATCTGTATGTCGAATACTATATGTATGTCGAATAATATCTGTATGGCAACAATCCTTCCTGCATACACACAATGCCTATCAAAAGTTGACTAATATATTAGATCTTCATCGCTATCCAGAAAAATGGCAATATGATATAACTGGATAATCGAGGGTAGAGGTCCTGATTCGATTTGTAATGCACGCATGCCTAATATGAATTTTTTTATCTCAAATTTCTCTTTACTTCGTGACACGCCAGTCAAATGATATTGACATGTATGTATATTTTAAATGAAATACAGTGAAACGTCGATATTTCTGCCAATATCCCGGTCAATAATTATCGATATTTGAAATCGGCTTCTAAAATGTTTGATGTTTTCTTTTAAAAGGAAAGTTCTCATTTATGTTAAGTGTTCTATACACACTGGTAAGATTTGAGTAAATGGTTTGTGTGTATTTAAGTTTTCGGTTCTTAGAAGTCAACGATGACATTTCACATATCACGTGACTGATCGTTCATTGGTTACTGTACATTGTACACTGTACACTGAGTTAATTCATGACATAAGTGTTATAAGTTGTCAGCACAGTTGCTCATCTCTTGGTGTTAATAGTTTACCGTCCGACTTCAGAATTAAATTAAAATGTCCTTTATTTCCACTCTTCACCTGCCTGAATAAAAACATCTTACCGGAATTGTTTTGTTTAAGTCTCGAAATTTTATCGGTAGGATACTGGAAGAAGGGAAATAACTCTGGCTATAGCTTCGTTTTTTTCCGTCCCCACATTTTCCGTCTTAAAAAACAATCCACACATACGACAACCGCGGCACTCGGTATATCCACTGGTGCCGTTAGGTTACGCTCAAAATTCAGTTTCGAACTCTTGTAAAGACCAAAATGTAAGCCATAGTTGCACATATTGTATGCAGGCAGCAGGCAACCTATGTTATATCGTCCCGTGAAGATCCGGGGTAGAATAGGTCTTCAGCAACCCATGCTTGCCGTGAAGATCCGGGGTAGAATAGGTCTTCAGCAACCCATGCTTGCCGTGAAGATCCGGGGTAGAATAGGTCTTCAGCAACCCATGCTTGCCGTGAAGATCCGGGGTAGAATAGGACTTCAGCAACCCATGCTTGCCGTGAAGATCCGGGGTAGAATAGGTCTTCAGCAACCCATGCTTGCCGTGAAGATCCGGGGTAGAATAGGTCTTCAGCAACCCATGCTTGCCGTGAAGATCCGGGGTAGAATAGGACTTCAGCAACCCATGCTTGCCGTGAAGATCCGGGGTAGAATAGGTCTTCAGCAACCCATGCTTGCCGTGAAGATCCGGGGTAGAATAGGTCTTCAGCAACCCATGCTTACCGTAATAAGGTGACTATGCTTATCGAAAGAGGCGACTAACGGGACCGGGTGGTCAGGCTCGCTGACTTGGTTGATGCATGTCATCAAGTATATACTTTAATCAATAGCCCCGTGAAGATTACGGGATAGACGTGGTGTTCAACAACACATGTTTGTGGTAAGAGGCGGCTGACGGGATCGGTCGGTCAGACTCGCTGTATTAGGTGATGGATGTCACCGTGTCCATATTACGTGGATCGATGCTCATGATATTAATCACTGGATTGTCTGGTCCAGACTCGATTATTTACAGACCGCCGTCATATAGCTTGAATATTGCTGAGTACGGCGTAAAACAACAAACCAACCAACCAGCCTATGTTATATCAGATGTATTCTAAAGCAAGCCATGTGTATGTTTTAATGGTCTTCTTCGCCCCTAAAGATGAACACGGAAGTGAGAAACACTCACAATAATATTGATGGTCATCATGCATAATACTGGTCGACACTAAAAGTCTTGCAGACAACTAACGTCGCATTTAGCAGTAATCCGATCGGCCTTATCAAGGGATACTAAGAAATGAGTATTGTTTTACGCCGCTTTAAGCAATATCCAGCAATATCACGGCGGGGACACCAGAAATGGGCTACACACATCTTCACCCATTGTTTCTATGTGGTGAATCAGCTGATCGAACCCTAGTCTCCGAGATTCGCTCATTTATTAAAAATCAGACATTTTATTTTTTCATACGATACGATCCCCATGTGCGTGAAGGACCCGTCCCGTTAGGTGAACTTTGACCACCCTGTCTGAATGAAAGATTTAGTTCTTGAGCCAATCAGATGTGAGTTTTCTTAAACGGCTTCATTTCTTTACCATCTCGAGATTGAACATATGAAAACACAAATATTCATTCGATGTTACTCCCTTTGGAATTTAGAAAACGACGGCGCTCAGAAACGACAGGATGAGTAGAGTATCGACAAAATTCTTATATTGCGGCCTCATCTCAGCATTAGAAGACACAACGCTGATTGGCTGAATAAAAAGTTCACCTAACGAAATTGGTCGAACCGTTAACTGAAAATAATTTTTCGCCATACTAGAGACCATTTTTTGTAATTCCTGTTGATTTCGGTGTATACTTGGTGGTTGATTACGTAATCGATACCTAGCAATACTAATCTTGATTGAAACCTCTTGCGTCTCGTATAAAACGCATTTTCTTCAAACTGTAAATACGAACATTTTGTACAAAGAGTAATGCAATGCTTCTTTCATGTTGCAGTGTGTATTGCTAGGTAAGGACTTCGTTATTCGTTATGCTCATGATGTCATTCACTGGATTGTCTGGTCCAGACTCCATTATATACAGACCGCCGTCATATAATTAGAATATTGCTAATTGCAGCGTTAAACAACAAACAATGAAACATATGCGGAGGCTGAGTTGAAGGAAGTGTGTGTTTGTGTGTGTGGAGTGGGGTGGGGGTGTGGGGGTGAGGGGGGGGGGGGGTGGGGGGGGTGGGGTGTCCAAGTGATTGTCCTCCTACCTAGCAAATTTGGACGTTATTCGTTTTCATCTCCTTTCATTGTGTTTTTGTTGTTACTTTAAGTTACACTAACATAGCAATCGGAGGCATGTTTTGATTCAAATACAAACAGTCACAATAGTTGCAAGAGACATGAATTACAAACAAAGTCAAAACTCTCGCGAATACCGCAAATATGATGAGAATGCATCGCTTCGTCAAAGGGACATAACTCCACTAGCCATGACCTCACAGCAGATCAAACGATGACGCTACTGGGTATATGTTACGGGCGCTTCAAGCAGTAACGTGATCGTCTCGCGTGACCGCCCGTTCAGCGAGAAGATACAGTAAACTACGGTTATAACGAACACTCTTATAACGAACTGACCCATATTACGAACTTATTTTTTAGTCCCGGTCATTTGTTGTATATGCTGTATATATGCTTAAAACGAACTACGGTTATAACGAACTAAAATAAGCGGTCCATTTGAGTTCGTTATAACCGTAGTTTACTGTACTGGATATTTCCAGACCGTGTATGAAGAAAGTCATCGTAACGCGAAAATGGAGACATGTGTGGCCCAGTTTTATAACTTGTGAAAAGTTGAGTCCCTTAAACGTGCCATGATCCGCAGATCATTGGTTCGCATCTTGTACTGATTCTCGGTAACCGTGCTCAGACCTGCATCATTCTCTTCCCGCATGACACGTCATGATATAACTCATATAATGATCACAGCGGTGTCTGTAATTGCAATATTCACATTAACGAGTTTAAACAAGAAGTTAGGTCACTCAAACTTTGGTATTCTCAAAACAAACTCTGTCTTATTGGATAAAGATTTGAACCCACAGGTCCTCTCCACCCTCAGTGATCGACCATGATGCGTTTCGCGTATTCACGACGGTGCACATCCATAATTTGGGTTCACACGTCCGCTGTATGCATGCCTAGTGCACCTTACATCGTGAAGGCTGCTTTCCCCCCCTCCCCCCCCCCCCCCCCCCCCCCCCCCCTCCCTTCCCAATTCGGTGGTAGATGGGGAAGCCCAGAGGTGATTCCCAACATGGGTGCACCATGATATTTATTTATTTGTTTTCTCTCTCTCTCTCTCTCTCTCTCTTCTCTCTCTCTCTCTCTCTCTCTCTCTCTCTCTCCAATCGAGTCTGGACCAGACAATCCAGTGATTGACACCATATGAATCGATCTACGAAATTGTCATACGTCAATTAAGTCAGGGACCCTGACCACCCAATCCCGTTAGTCGCCTCTTACGAATTATAACGAACCCCGAGGGACTGTTATGTGTGGTCGTTATAACCGTTAGAAGTTGATATTCGTATATTGCACACATAATTCGTATTTGTCAAGGTTCAACTGAAGAGCTGAATAATGTAAAGGTAGGCATCAAGCGGTCAATGGTTAAGCGCTGTCGTACATCATAAGCATCGATCTACGCAATTGGGACACGATGACATGCATCAACCACCCGATCGCCTCATATAATGAAAGGTACTACCGCACGATAATAATGCTTGCCCTCACACCTTTAAACGAGCAGAGTAAAAGTTCAATGTTGGCTAAAATTCTGATTTCCTTCAATTTAAAAATAAAACCTAAGTGTGAATATGTTGACAAACTTAAAGAGAGTATCAGTAAGCAAACACAGAAGTCGCGGGACCAATACATAAATGTTATCATGTGTTTTTTCACATGGCCCGCGTTCACTTGTGTTTCATCTCAAATTATCTACGATAGAAATGCTATTTATTTTCAATCATTACATACAATCATGATGATTTCAGTCATTATTCATTGACTTTAATCTGCGATACAACTGGAATACTGTCAAAAGCGGCGTTAAACCCAACTCACTCATTGACTTTAACAGTTACACTCCTGACAATGTTATTTCGAATGGACAATTTTTTACAACGTGAATTATTTTTTACGAATTATCGAATTATTAATTACGTATTATCATTCGGGCCCCGCGTCAAGGTGGCACAGATATGTATTTCTTATTGATGAAATAACGATTCCAGACGGAAGGCGTTATCTTGTCCCAGAGCCTGAATTCTTGCTTGACCAATTCCATTACTGACCATGCAGTTGAAACTGAGCAGGCGGGCCACGTGGGGGCTTGCACGGATGCAGGTGTCAGACATGCAGTAAACAACAGCAATGTTTACTTGTCAATATCATCCGGCACGGTCACTGTCGTACACACTCTGTACACTATCTGGGGGATGTTGGAAGTTTATAAGCGGATAGAGCGTTTAGAATATTTGAGATTTGACACTTCCGGTCCTCGACATTACCATCTTTAGGGGCCAAACGTTTCATCTCTTCTCGGAAATGCTGGAAGAAATAATTTGTACTCAAGTTTGACAAATCTAAAAATATTTCCCTTACATGCTGGGGGGCTGTTAAAAATTTTTTCGCTTCCCCTTTGGGAGAAACGTAATTGTAGGTCTTGAACCGCTGACTGGAAAAGTATTCTGTCCCAAGTTATTTGATCCATGAGTTCCAGGGGCGGTCGGGTAGCCTAGTGGTTAAAGCGTTCACTCGTTACGCAGAAGACCCGGGTTCGATTCCCGACATGGGTACAATGTGTGAAGCTCATTTCTGGTGTCCCCCGCCGTGATATTGCTGGAATATTGCTAAAAGCGGCGTAAATTATACTCGCTCACTCGCGCCATGAGTTCCAGGATTTATCTTTGATTTGTTTTGACCTTCATTAAATACTATTACAAATGCAACCTTTCCCAATCCATCGTTTCAACATTGAAGTGAATG